GAGGCAGGGGGCAGAATCACTGAGCTAAATCCCTGGCCTAACAATGTTTCGTCTTGTTGCTGAACAGTATCCGTTGTGTGGCTCTAACACCATCCATTTATTCTCCATCTACTTTTTGATGGACATTTTGGTTTTCAGTTTACAAGCAGAGCTGCTGTGAACAAGTCTTTCTTAAAGCACATGCTTGTTTCCCTTGGGAAACACACAGGAGTGAAATGGATGACCAGCTCTTCACATACATGCTTAATATTTAAGAAACTGTTGACTGTCCTCTAAGGCATCTTATCATTTCATAGCCCACCCCAGTGAGGAGGAGTCCAGGGGCTTCCGACTCTAAGATATTTCCAATAGCACGCCCACGGCTCACAACAGAGTCACCCTGGCTTCAGCCTGCCACTTCTTGAGGAACAGTGATGTTGAACATCTTGACATGTGTGTCTGCTCTTCACAAGCGTCTTCCATGAGGGTTCTGTTCATATCTTCCCCCTTTTACTGGGTTGTCTTCTAATTGAATTGTAAGAGTATTTCACATTCTAGTTAAGCCTTTTCTCAGATACACGATTTGCAAGTGTCTCTCAGTCTACGACTTAAATTTTCATTTTCATAAAAATGTCTTAAAAAAACAAAAATTTAAATGTTGATGAAGTCCACTTTATATTTTTCTAGTCATAAATGTGCTCTATGTCAGAAAAATTTGCCAAATCCAAGGTCATTAAATAGTCTTGGATATTTACTTCTACAGGTTTTATAGTTTCAGCTCAATTATGTTTGCAGTCTAAATTGGAGATAATTTTTATATGTGTCATAAGAGTTGAGGCTCCTTTTATCTTTTTTCCTGCATCTGGATGTACCATTAACCCAGCATCATTTGCAGAAAGGAATATCCTTTTCCTACTGAACTGTCTGGGGATCTCACTGAGAATAAATTGGCCATAAATGTGTGGACCATTTTTGGACTATCTAGTCTGCCCTACTGACATCTATCTTCACATCAAGAACAAACTATTTTGAAGGCAGGTAGTGTGTCACACAATCAAAATGTCTAGGTTTTTTTCAAAGTTGTTTTGGGTATTCTAAGTCCACATATGGCTTAATCATGTGCACTTAAAAAGAATGTGTGTTCTGTTGTTGGCAGGTGAATTCTCCTATAAACAGATGAAGCTAGTTGACAGCATTGCTCACATCTATTAACAATTTACTCTCTCCTTATTTATTCTGTTAATTACTGAGGAATGTGAAACTTCTTAGCAAAATTGTAGACTTGTCTTTTTTTTCAGTGTTATCATTTCAGCTTCATGTTATTAGGTACATAAAGGATTGTGATGTTCTCTTGACAACCTGGCCACTAATCATTATGAGATGACCCTCTTTATCTTACAGTCTTTGTCTAAAATTTACTTTGACTAATATTAGTATAGTGACTCTACTTTTTTATTAGTATTAGTATTAATAGAGTATATGCTTTTTACTAGTATTAATAGAGACCATTCATTTACTTCTAATCAATTTGTCTGTACATTTAAAATGGGTTTCTTGTAGGCAGCATTTAGTTAGGTCATCCACTCAGACAAGTTCTGCACTATAAGGTATTTATTATTTCTCCTGTGTTGTCATAACTACACCTTTTTCTTTTATTGGTTGTTTTAGGTTTTACAGATAAACACCTTTAAAAATTTTACTCCTTTTCAATATTTATACATTTTTTCATATAGATGATCAGAATGTCCGCTACTCTACTGCAAAAAGTGATGACAGAGAACACCTGATACCCTCCTGTTTTATTTGTCCATTTCAAACAAGTATCCTTTGTTGCATTTTTTGACTCTTTATCAAGAATGAATACTATGTTTTATCAAATGATGTTGCAATATATGTTGATATAAATTTTGAATATTTTTCTTAAATGATTAATGGCTAAGAATTTTTCTGGTACTAATGTGGCTTTGAGTTGCTGATATCAATCATTTGGATCTCTCGTTGGATATGTTCTTTTTTAAAAATGTGTGGCTATGGGCTGGGGATTTAGCTGTGGTGCCACTGCCTGCCTTGCAAGCACAAGGTCCCAAGTTTGATCCCCAATACCCAAAAAAAAAAAATCAAATAAAAAATAAAAAATGTGTGGCTATGAACTATAGGCTAAAACCCTATTTATCTCTGTGTGTGTGTTTGTGTGTGTAAACACATAAATTTCTGAAATAGGCCAGGCACAGTGGCCCACTACAGTAATCCCAGCAACTTCGAAGGCTGTAACAAGAGGATCACAAGTTTGAGGGCTGCTTGGGCAATCTAGTGAGACTGTCTCAAATATTTTAAAAAGAAAAAAAAATTTTTTTTCTGAAATAGGTGTGTGGTGACTTTATTTTGGGCTAACAGTGCCTTTTCATAAATGACCTTTCAGTTACCATCCAGTCTATTACTACAATTCTGAGAACCATAAGCATAAAGAAGTAGTATAACCAAGAAGGCAGAATTAAGGTTTATTTTCATCGGTGAGTTCCATGTCATCAGGAGTGACTAAATAGAGCATCCTTTGAATAAAGTAGTCAAATTATACTATTATTTGAGACAGGGTCTAGCTATGTAGTTCAGGCTGAGCTTTAACTCACTGCATAGTCCAGACTGGCCTCAAACTCATGGAAATCCTCCTGCTTCAGCCTCCTGAGTGCTGAGATTACAATGGTATGCTACCATGCTCAGTTGTCTCTTTCTACTTTAAAAACACCTAACAAAAAACCATTCTGAGTCATATAATTTAGCAAACAGGGAAGACATAAAGATGGTATATTTATTGGTTGCCTATACCAGCATCACTCACTTTAACTAAAATTCTCGTAAATAATTCAGAAGATAATTAGTTATAGCTACATATTAAAAATACATTAACTATTATAAACTGTAGTTGAAGAATTCCTTCTAATTGATTCATTTCCTTATTTCCTCTTACAGGCCAAGCACTATGCTAGGTGCAGAGGGGACACAATGGTAAACAAGTTCTTCTCCTTGGTAAACACAAACTAGTGCAGGGCTGACAAACTTTTCTGGTAAAGGGCCAGATAGTAATTTCATAGGCTTTGGAGCCATACAGTCTTTGCTGCCAGTATTCAACTTCGCTATAAGGCAAAAAGTGTCAAAGACAAGCACTATATACCAAATGAGCATGGCTGTGGGAGGGAAATTTATATACAAAACACAGGCGGGCAGGATATATCCCATGGGCCACAATCTGCCGACCCGTTCTCTAGTGGAAAATTATAAACTCAACAGCAATTTCATTTTACATGGCAAATGCAAGGAGAGCTGTAACAAAGCAAAGCAAAGTGTGCTTCAAGAACATAAACCCAGTCAATCAACCTCGAGTTCCAGGAGGAGGCCAGCATTTACCACAGACCTTACTGTCTCAAAATCACAACTTGCCGCCATTATAGAATGACTCAAAACCCCACTGAGGAAATATACAACACTTTTGACTAGAAAAGAATTGCTCTTTTATATAGTACTCTCCAAGCTATTCACCAAAAATTATTCTACAACCACACCTGAAAGCTTACCTTGAGTGACTGTTTTGAGAACAATTAAAGTTGATAAAAATCGCAATGGTAAATGGGAACTCTTAAAAAAAGCAGCTGTCTTTGGTTTATTCTCCACAGAACACTCTGAAGAATTATCCTGAACTCCTTTAATTACCACGCCTTTAAATATGTCTTCACCCAATCGCCGCAATGTTGATGTCATAGTTGAATGCTGTTAACAGTAAGTACAATCTTGGTCTATTTTTATGCATGTTCAGAAAATACCTATCTTAAATACAATAAAATATATAAACTAAAAGTGCATTTTTTTGTTAATCAAAATGATAAAATGGAACTGCAAAATATGCAAGATTGGAACATGAGAATTTGATAACTTTTAAAAAATGAAGTATGACTTCATAGTAAGAACCACAGATCAATCACACTGTATTTCCAGCACACAGGTGGCCACCCATGCTCAGCTGACCACTGGCAGCCAGTGGTGTCAGGTGCGTCTCACTATGCCTGCTCATCAAGCAGCCAGCGGAGCCTCCTGCTTCTGCTCACTGACTACCAGTGTCCCTTCTAATTCGGCACACTTTTTTATTCAAAAGAATAAAAAATTACATTAGAATGCCAGAGGATTCCTATGGAGAATAAACTGAAACAAGAAAGCAGGTAAAACAACGGCATAGAATGACCTGAAAAATAACACAGGATCTAGAGGATTTCCACACTTCTACTGAAAGGGAAGCATTTCAAACTGCAGGTTGAGAGATAAGTGAAAGTGTTCTTTGTTGTAATCCAATTTTTCAGGTCTCTGTTACTGAGTGTCTTGGATTTGTGACAAAATGTTCCCAACACAGCATTGATCCTATGATGTGGACAACAAGCTCTAGCTTCTAAATTTCTACTCCTAAAATTAGAAACAGATACACTAAGATTCTGTGGGTATCAAAGGCCAATATGTATGTGGATACTACTTCTCTTTAATTGAAGAGGAAAAAAACTCCACAAAAATTATATTTTTATTTTTGCTGAGACTTCCCCAAAGGATATAGACATCAATCTAGACCCAAAATGTCTAGTTTTCAATCTAAAATCACTCACCATATCAAGAACCAGAAGATTTCAAACTAAATTTAAAAAGACAATCAGTAATTGCCAATATTAATATGACAAAATGTGAGAATTATCTGACAAAAAAATTTTAAACCCCTAATAAAATTAACAACTATAAACACTTTAGAAAATCTCATAGAAATACAAGTCTTAGCAAAGAAACCATAAAAGAACCAAATGGAAAATTTAGTACTGGAAATACCATTAACAAAGGAGATAACTCAGTGCACTGCCTCAATAGCAGAATGGAGGAGCCAGAGAAAAGAATCTAACCAGAAATAAAATAGCCAATATCAAGAGAAACTGGATACTGGCAGCAGCAGCAACAAACAGAACTTCAAGGAACCAAGAGACTTCAATATCTAACAAGTATGTCACTAGAGTCCCCAAAGGAAGGAAAATCAGGTAGAAAATTCCAAGGAATCTTATGAAACTTTATGAACTATTACAGGAAAGGTCACAGGATACAAAATTTTTAAAAAATCAATTATATTTCCGAATACTATCACTGAACATGTGTACACAAAATTTTAAAAAACAGTATCAATTAAAATCACATAAAAGGGCCGGGGAGTTAGCTCAGTGGTTCTGGCGCCTGCCTCACAAGCGCAAGGTCCTGAGTTTGATATCCGGTACCAAAAAAAAAAAAAAAAAATCACATAAAAAATTAAACTTAGCTAAAAAGTTTTTAAATGCATAGGAATTCATGTAGAAAACTATACAACAATGGTGAAAGAAATCAAAGTTTTAAACAAAGGGAGGGACAGTTTGTGCTGATGAACTAGAAGACTCAACAAAGTAAAGATCTCAATTCTTCTCAAATGAATATAGGTTTAAGGTGATGCTGATCAAAATCCCAGTGATGTACAGAGAAGATTATTCTCAAATACAAGAGAACATATTCAAAGGGGACATGTGTGTGTATGCGTGTAATACGTGTGAATGTATAAGCTGACACTAAGCGTAGCATCACCTGCAGCTCCATTCCTTGCTCCCTTACCTGCGCCCCTGCATCTAGTTGCCTGAGGGACCAGTAGATGAACCTGATGAGAGGCTCGTGGAATTTGGCATTCACCAGCGGCATCCACTGCAGCTGCTCTGTCATCACAGGCAAGAGCTGCAGATAAATGGCGGGAAATATCAAAGCAAGGTACTTTCAGATGTCCTAAACCCATTCCTGCAATGTTCTAAAGAGTAACTACAAAGAGAAAGAGGAATTCTCTAACAAAACACCTCCCCTAAACCACATGCAATGCAACGTGGCAATCTCGATCTGAAAGTTTCCGTATGTGTTTCCTTCTATTCAGCAACAGCACATCAAGAACTGAGATTAACTTACACAGAGGCTCTCTGAAGCTTCAAGGGTCAAATAAATATAATCATTAAAAATGTGAACCTAGATTTATATTTGTTACCATGGCATATTCTGGGATGAAAAAAGCAGGTGACAAGAGATCAAGTATAATAAAGATCCCAACTTATATAAATATGTTAGTGTCAATTTGTAAAAGTAATTTTTAAAAAAAATTTGAAGATGTTGGGCCAGGGATTTAGCTCAGTGGTTCCGCCACCTGCCTCGCAAGCGCAAGGACCTGAGTTCGATCCCTGGTACCAAAAAAAAAAGAAAAAAAAAATTTGAAAATGTTAATGATCTTTGCTTCAATAGCCAGAAGGCCATGAGCAATGGTACACAGGTGCTTTAGAGCCTAGGTGCTGCACTTAGGTCATGGCAGAACAAGTGGGGCCTCGATCTTACACACACTGGGGACAGATTTCCGCCAGCAGCCCAAGCCAGTGCATGGGTCCTCCACCAGCCTCCACAGAGGACCACAGGTCTGAGGACACAGAGACTCCGGCCAGCTGAGACCCACGTCAGACTTCGGCCCTGTGAGTGACACGCAATCAGCAAGCTGTGCAAATACTCTGGCTGCATTTTCTATGCCACTTATGGTGACTGTGTCTCTGATTGTTTCTTCTGACTCTCTCTGGTTTAGAGACTGGTGTGATTACTGGGCCCACTCAGAAAATCCTGGGCAATCTACCTGCTTTAAGGTTAGCAACTTTAATTTCTTTTGTCCTGTAACATAACACTGGCAGATTCTCAGGATAAGGACATTATTCTACCTGCTACAAAAGGCATTAAAAGAAACATTGATTAAGGATGAAAACTTGGAAATAATATATTCAAATAAAACACTGGCCCATATTTAATAACCATGAAATCATTCCTGAAAATGTGTGAAAACAAACAAACAAAAAGCTTTAATATCTTTTTTTCAAAGTTTTTCTGTATTGTCTGTGGACTGTAACTGTCAATTTCTAAAGACCTTTTATATTAACCAGAAATCACAAAGACCAACATTCATATTAATACTCATAACTTGATAAATTATTTCTCTTTGATAAAGAATGAGAAGTCCCTTGAAAATAGACTTTATCCTTTCATGCTAAAAGACTGTTTCATATCCCAAAATTATGTATAGAAGCAACTGTTCACATCTCTACATATTTTTAACTCTAATATACAATTACTTCACTTTTGGAGTATGTTGTTAGTGTCTAGTTTTAAAAAGATAAATTATTACCATATTAAGAAAAATATAAATATGAATTAATAGGGTCCAAAATTAATCTTTTTAGAACTGACTACTGGTACAGCCAACTTTCCACCCAAAAACCTTTCATTTATAAAATCTGCCAGAGGTTTCCCTTTAATCTTCAAGTGTCCTGAAGCATACATTTCAAATTTTAAAACAAACCTTTACACACTTCTCTTGAATATCACTTTTCTGAGAAGCAGATTTGAGTAGTAGCTTTTCACCATCCACACCAGAGTCCTCATGTTTCACTTTGATAAGGTGATGGTCTGAAACCCAGTCCATGAAGACAGTTAAAAGTTCATATACCTGTCCATTAAGTGGTACCTACGTGTCAAAAATTAAATCAAACATTAATTTCGGTTCACAACTTCATAAAAGTTCAAAGGCAAGCCTTAAAATTTGGTAAGTAGAGTAATTTATAATAGAGTAATTTATTTAGAGTGCTCTTAGCTCATTTCACTTAGTGTAAGGATAGAGATTCCCCAAATAAGCAAAAGAAATTCCAAATCATATGCCCCCAATTAATATTAGAAACATTAAATGCTGGCTGAGAAAAGGCAGAAAACATCTCATTATGATTAGTAAACTGAAAGAACTACATATTAGTAAAATTAAAAATTTTCAAGAAGTTCTTCACCCAAGATTGATAAGACAGAAAAGTAAAATTGGCTGTAACTTAACAACATGAAATCACCATATCTATAAGATTCTAACAAGTTTTAATGTTTCCAAGGCTAAAGAATTTCCACTCTCAGATTTCATATTTTTCCCTTCCCCACAGTAGTTATTTTCTTTGTTTTTACTGTACAATGTTCTACACACATGAAAATCCTTTTCTGGAATACCTATTCTCTGAAAGCCTACAAAACCAGGAGGGAAAAGATCAAGAACAAAATGCACAAATCATTGATAAATGTGCTGAGACTATTCCTCTGTAAAAATCTATTATACAAAATGGAGTAATTCTTGTCACACCACACTAAATGGAGTTCAGGGCCCAGGGAAGAAGAGGGAACAGGGTCACAAGGACTTGCTCCAGGAACTGTTTCACAGAACCGCCCCAACAAAACTGCCTGCTCTGTCCTATTTCCACTCAGCAACTGCTGGCAGAACTGCCCACTGTGCCTTCCACCACACAGTAGTTGTCATCACCTGCCAGTGCTGACAGCGCCAGTGGACTTTTGTTCAAAAATTGTTCTAATAAGACTCCCAACCTCCGGTCACAGTGAGAGCCACTCAGCCTGTGCATGTGTGTCTTAGATTGCAATTCTACTCTTTGTTCCCAAATAGTAAGGTCCTATATTGGAGATGCAGCTCTAGACTTCTGTTTGACACCTTTGAAACACACTGTTGATCAAGTTAAATGTTTTCCATATATCTACCTTAAGCTGGGAATAATGCTAGATTTCATTACTCTTTTTAAGCTAAGCAAAGACAGAGAAATATAAAAGCAAATTAATAAAAATTCAGCTAAGAAGAATCACAAAAACAGAATCAGATGATTGAAAACAGAGTAATAGTTATCCCATTATTCTGACAAGAATCATTTGAAACCTCAGTTTTTTTCAAATAGAAAAATGAGAAACTGCTTTTAGATGAAACTTCAATTACCTTGAGTACCTGAGTATAAAATCTCCACACTTTCCATTTATTTTACATAGAGAACTAGAACCGGTCATGGTAGCACATGCCTGTAATCCCAGCTACTTGGGATGCTGAGGCAGGAGGATCACAAGTTCAAGGCAAATCGTGGCACCTTAGTGAGACCCTGTCTCAAAAAATAAAAAAGGGCTAGGGTGCTGCTCAAGGTATAATACTTGCCTAACATATGTAAGTCCTTGGGTTCACTCTCCACTACCACAAGGGAAAAAAAAAGGACTAAAAAGTTTATTATCAAAGTGATTAACACCCACAATGAGTTACCACCACATATCCATTAAGAAGGGTCAAAATAAAAAAGACTAAAACGGGGCCAGAGATTTAGCTCAGTGGTTCCACTGCCTGGCTCACAAGTCCAAGGTGCTGAGTTCAATCCCTGGTACCCAAAAAAAAGAAGACTAAAACACCAAATATTGGCAAAGCTGTGGAGCAACCAGAACTTTCACACATTGCTAGATGTATCAAATGGTTTGGATATGAACTGACATTTTCTTACAAACATACATCTACCTTATCACCAAGAAATTCTAGTCCTAGAACATCCAAGAAGAATGAAAACATGTGCCAAAAGGGCCAGAATTTAGCTCAGTGGTTCCACCACCTGCCTCACAAGCGCAAGGTCCCGAGTTTGATCCCTGGTACCAAAAAAAAAAGTCAGAGAGGAAAACGTGCCAAAAATCTTGTATGTGAGTATTTATAGCAACTTTATTCACAGTAGACAAAAACAAGACTTGTACAGGTGTCTATCAACAGAACAACTGACAGATAAGCTGTGATACATTCATATAATGGGATACTGGGTAATACAAAGAAACAAACGACTGACAAACTCAGTGTTATGGTGACAAAAGGAAACGGTGCCCAAATGAGTGCATGCTGTACAATCCCATTGACTATAGCTATGAAACAAGTGAAGCTAATTCAGGGAAACAGATCAACAGCTACTTCCCACAGGGAGAAGGACCAGGAAAGGGCACAGAAGAACCTGCTGGGGTGATGGGAACACTTGGCTCAATGTCACATGAATTTATCAACACTGATCAAATACTGATTCGGGATCTATTGTTACTATATAACATAATATATAATTTGTATTTCAAGTTTTAAAATTCTTAAGAAAAAATACCAGGGGCCAATTCAGGGATGGATTGCAGTCTTGATAGAAAAGTAACATCAAACAGTTGTGGAATCTGAAACACATCCAATAACAAAGCTGCTACCAACTGTAAGGGATCTGCAAGTGTCACCATGCCTGAAACATGGCTGAAATATCCTGGTATATTTTAAATTCTAGAGCTATTTCCCTATAAAAGAATTATTATGGTGATCCCTTTCATACCAAAAAAGAATGTTCACTAAATGAAAGAATAAGAGAAAATTTCCTGGCTGTCCACTGGAAAAATCTTCAGTTGTGTCATACCTTAGAAGTTTTTGAAGCTGGTGCTTTTTCTTGCTTTAAGCTTTTCATTTCATGAGCAGCGTGGGAACTTCCTTTCAATCTCTGTATTGTCATAAATTCATACTTCCTCTACAATGGAACACATCGAGAAATTAAAGAATAATCACATGAAAAGTAAGCAAATCTAAAGGCAATCATGTTAAAATGCACTTAGAGAAGAACAGGGAACATACCTGTAAGTTATCTAAGCGGGCTTGAACTCTTTTAGCCTGAATCTCCATCTTTCTGTTTTCTTCACTTACTTCATTTAACTAAGGACGGGAAAAGTTAGCAATTTCAATATAAAACTTAAACTTATCACACTGAGGGCTTCTCCATCAACTGCCTCATCTGGTCTACTTAACCACGCAGGTAACAAAACAGAGGCAGCATTAAGGATTGAAATAGGTCACAGATAACAATCACCATGTTCCTTTGGCTTCATATCCCAGAAGGTCCGTTTGCCTCTCATCTGCCTTCTCCTGAACGCAACACTACTCCTTCCAATTACTCTGGGCATTCACTGGAACGCCAATCCTCTGATGGGCCCTGAACATCAATCCTGTCTCCTTGGCTTGGCAAGTCTCAATATGTAATGCTTTTACATTGTTGTTGTTATTGTTGTTGTTGTTACTACTATTATTAAGGTATATTTACATCCAGTGCTATCTTAAATTACTATGAAAGTCAGTCACAGAACCAATACACCTTTCAATAAGCCATTCCTAAGTATGCACCATTCATCATATCAGAAGCTGGCAAGCTGCAGCTAGAACACAGCCACACATCACTGCTGTGCTCTAAGGCAGAGCTCAGCCCACCAAGTAAAGGAACACTTCTTGAAGGTGGTGCTTAGCTGAGATGGTGATGGGAACAGTTATCCCTCCAGGGGTAAAGCAGGCTTCCCAAGAGACAACCTCCCCTGAAGGCCACATGTGGGTCAGAAACAGATTCAGGGAGGCCAAACCAGAGCAAGGGAGGAGCATGGAGCCTCGTCACCTCTGTCAGGGCAGAGGGCTGCAACAAGTGTCCCCCAGGAGTCACAGCAGAACAAGGGGAGCAGAGCTGGCCAGGGAACCAGGGGCTAAGTTCTCAGAGTCTAAGCCTAACTGTATTAAAAGTCTGTCAGGTTTTTCAGTCCTGTACTTTTACAAAGTGACTGTGTTTACCTCAATTTATGCCCAGAAGTATCTTCTGCCCACAATTAAATGCAAACATAATCATTCTTCCATCTCTCACCAACTATATCCTATTTTTCACAAAGAAGGATGAAAAAAAAGACATAACAAAAAAGCCTGTCATCCCAGTACTCTGGGAGGCAGAGGCAGGAGGATCATGAGTTCAAGGCCAGCCTGGAACATATCAAGACTCTGTCTCAAAACAACAAAATATCATTTTATATAATTTTAGTACTAGGTATTAACCTAAATGACACCACTTATATAAATAAATTATTATAACACAATGTGACGCGGGTCTATACCCCTGAAACTATGTATGAGCAATGTGAAGCCTAGAGTCTGGTAGTATCCAGCATAAAGCAGGCACAGGGAAAATAGATGAAAGTTAAACACACACAGTGTTTAACAGCAGTTACAGTAATAACCATTAAAGACAGAAATCAGGGGCCAGGATTTAGCTCAGTGGTTCTGCCACCTGCCTCACAAGCACAAGGTTACTGAGTTCGAACCCTGGTACCAAAAAAAAAAAAAAAAGACAGAAATCAGTGATAAAAGTTTCTTAGCTCTAAGGTTTTTCTTTTGCTTCTTTGTTATCTATAATGCTATAGTTTTGTTATCTATAGTGTTATAGTTTTTGTACTAAAGTAGGGCTTACCTGTTTTTTTAAGTTATCATTCAATTCTTTCAGTGCATCAAAAGAAGACCTCAGTCTCTTGCTTTCTTTATTTCTCTCCTTAAGAACTTCAGTTAACTGTTCAACTTCTGCACTGTGTTGCTAGGAGGAAAAAACATCTACAGATTTAAAAATTAGGTAAGGATTTCATCACTAATATTATTGAACGTAAGTTAATTAACTTATGTTAATTAATTATGTTAAATAACCTTCAACCACAAAAACTCTAATCTGTGTATTTAAACACAGGTGACTGATGTGGCAAATAATTTACAAAAATTGTGTAATCAACCACAGTAACAACAAAACATCAAAAGCATTTGGGAAAAAAGCAGGCATATTACCATACAAATTAAGTCTACTCTTCAATTCTGCTCAGAAAAATACACCCAAACAGTGTCACTGAAATATCTTCTACTTTACATCATGGGATAATAAAACAAACATTTCTGATCCTTTTCAAGACTCTAATAGGCTACTAACAGCTTTACAGATAAAAATGTAAGTCTCGCATCACCCTCACAGATATAGAAAATAGTCTAGGACTGGGAATTTAGCTCAGTGGTTCTACCATCTGCCTGGCAAGCTCAACGTCCTGAGTTCAATCCCCAGTACCAAAAATAAAAATAAAAAATACCCCATAGGTAGAACTATCTCTTATTCTCATGAAGTAGCTAAAAGTCTGATGCCAGTTTTACATCTCAAAAAATATTAAATACATATAAAAATTTCTCTGAGCCCCCAAAAATTCCACTCTCTCTTTAACAGGTTTCAGAAATGATGCAAACCAACCTGTCCAATAATTACATTTAAATGGGATAGCATGTCAGATTTAGGATGTGAATACTTACAAGTCAATAATAAGATTAGCATGGAGAGATCTAAGAATCTAAGCATTCTGTCCTGTGAAAAAAAATCCAATCTGAAAAGTATAGCTTTATGTGATTTTATTACTATATTAATTGGTTCCATAATAACCTAGGACACAGTCACAAATACAGGTATTTTTAGAATGTTTTAATATTCCTATTGTCTAATCTTTCCACATCTAAAGATACTAAAGCTTACAATATGAGTTCCACTCCCGGCAAGGCAGGATAAACCCACTCCCCTCTACCTTGACTAAAAGCCCTGGACAAAGCCCAACAGCAATCACTTGATGCCTGGAAAAGCAAACAAGAACAGAGAATTGCAGAAGGGAGTAAAATCTGGAGAAGCAACCCTTAGGGGTGACCTTTCCTGTGTTTTTGTTTTTCCTTTTCTCTCAATGTTCTGCTCCAGGATGGAGAAGTAGAGGGAGAAGCAGAGTGAAACCTTCCATAACCACTGGGAGATACAGGCAGTCTTCCCTTCAGGAGAACCAGATGAGGGGCCCCGAGAGCCCAAGGGTGGAGAATCTGGGAGAAGAGATCAGAAAGGGGTCCCCTATCCCCCGTTGCCACTTTGGTGGTGGGAAGCTGCCCTACTGCCAGGAGGAGGCTGGAGAACCCAAGAATCTCAGGCTGACCCCAAGAGGCTGGTTTGCAGGTCAATTCCAAAGGCTCTGCAGCTCATCTGGGGAGGACCACACTGCCACAGAGGGGCAGGGATGAGGACTTCCACCTATACTGGCTGGACAAATGGCTTAAGAAACAGTAACATTCTCCAGAGACATGAAATCGATACAAATGACACTCAAAAGGGTTCAAATATAATTCTAAAATTGCTGGAGAAACAAAACACAACGAAGTCTCAAGAAAAAAGACAATCAGGCAACCCATTTGGGACCCCTCCTGTCTCCCAGGAGCTATTCTTATTCTCCAATAAATTTTCCTACTCTTAACCTCTGTTGTTCCTTAGACAAACTCAGCATATCTGACATCTAGCATGAAGGGAATAACATGTATTCCCCCTATATCACCCCTTCTGTCTCTTAGACAAAAGCTATCTTTCTCTTAATAAATCCTTCCTAAATATGGTATTTATGAAGTACTACTCTGCCCTAAAGAAGGATAAATTTGAATCATTTGTAGAAAAATGGAGGCACCTTGAAACCATACTATAAAGTGAAATACTATAAATCAGACACAAGCTTAAATATCACATGGTTTCTCTTATATGAGAAACCTAAAGTATAAAAAATTTAAAGAGCAAGTTAAAAGACAGATAACAGGAAACAGAGCTAGATTTTTTGCAAATGGAAAAGGTACCAAGAGATAGATGGAAATGGGAGGCGGAGAAGAGGAAGTAAAAGGAATTAAGATGTGTTTGTTACGTATAGGCACCAATTCCCCACGATGAATGTAATCATTATATACTGTGAACATGTACCAATAAAAATTAAAAAAAAAAAATTCTTCCTACTCTTAACCTCCATTGTTCCTAGAATTCATTCTTTGAGTTTAGAGAACACGAACTTGGCATTTTGGATGTCTAGCAGGCATTGAAGCCAGCATGCTACAGGGATACCCACATACCCACAGCACAATTCACAGTGGCCAAGACATGGAGCCAGCGGAGGTGCCCATGGACAGTTACAGTTTTAGCAGATACAAAAAACCGCAGCCCTCAGCAAAGATACGCCACTCCTTCAGGTGGCTGAAGACCAGGTATACGTCCTGCCATCACCACTTAGATACAGGCTGTGCCATGTCCTTGCACACAGAATGAAGAACAGATATTATAGAAAGGAGAAAAGACCACAAAGCACAGCACAACGTCTTCCTAGTGCCAAGTGACCCAACAACACCCACACATCTGCCCTGACTGCTGCATGGACCCCAACCACAAATATTTGTTCCAACCCCTGTACGTGTCAGACCTCTTCCTGATCCCCTATAAAAATCCCTGCCTGTTCTTTATTCACCACTGACAGGTTGCTTGCCCTCAGTCAACCTGCACCCAGGTGAATAAAGTTTGTGCCTCGTTGCCTTCTTAAAAAAAAAAAGAAAAAAGACAATCAATAGACACCAATCTGAGAAGACCCAGAAGCTAGGTTTCTACCTCTGTTCCATGAGGTAAGTTCAGTGTGAAACCAAATTAAAGACACAAATTCTTAGTAGAAAAACAAAACAAAATCTTTTAAAGAACATAATTTAAAATTTTAGAACTTTATCAGAAATAAAAAATTCACTAAATGGGCTCAATAGCTACATGGACATGGAAAGAAACAGGGAACTTAAAGAGAGATCAATAAAAATTATCTTATCAGAAGAGAAAGATGAGAAAACAGGAACATATCTCAGAAATCTTTTGGGTATAATATCAAAAGTCACTGGAGACCCAGGAGAAGAGAAAGCAATTCGAGCAAAAAAAAATATTGAAAGAAATGTTAGCTGAAAATTTCCCAAATTTGGCAAATAATCAAATTTATAAATTCAAGAAGCACAGTAGCCCACAAATCAAACTCAAAGTACATCAAGACAGGTCATCAGTGAGCTGCTGCTGAAAGCCACAGTCAGAGATCACAAAATGATCCACCCACAGAACATCCTGGCAGAGGTAGATCACAGGGACAGACATAAGTCAGGAGCTACCGAGGGCTGCTGACAGGGCATGGATGACTACAGAGGAGCAAGTGAAAACATCCAGGGTGCTAGAACCATTCTAGCCCAAGTATGGTGGTGACATACATGGTGAACCTGTCTGCAGATTCAAAATGTACAGAAATATACAGCAAACAGAAGGACTTTCACCCTATTTAAGTTCCAAATACTATAACCTATCTTTTGATATGAAGCACAGAAGTATACAATACCACCTACATAACATCCTTCCCAAAGTATTTCAATTGAGTATCAATGTCAGGATACAATCAGGTCAACCCAGAGTGTGACCTGCTTTCCAAGACTGCAGAGCTGGATTCTTCAGAGAAAGGCCAAACAACAAAAATGGTGAGAAAGAAACCCAGAGATTCAACCACCAAATACGCATGTGTTTTGTATAGCTCCCTGATGAGAAAATAAAGCAAAACAAAAAAGCAACAGATGACATCTTGGGAGCCACACGGGGCAGGGAATGTGGCTGTGTCTAGAGAACCAAGGCTCTGGGAACATCTCTGCTCCAAGACACAGCTGCCCTAATCCTCTCAAATGCTGCAGCACACCAGGCGTGTGCAGGACTGCATGAGGTGAGGAGGATGGGAAGGGGAAATGAGCAACTGGTGAAATGTTAAGAATTAGTGAATCTAGGGGCCAGAGATTTAGCTCAGTAGTTCCACCGCCTGCCTCAGAAGCACAAGGTCCCGAGTTCAATCCCCTGTACCAAAGCAAAAGGATTAATGAATCTAAAAACATCAAAGGCTACAATTACCTCCTTTATAATCTGAAATCTTGTCAGAACCTCTTCCTCAACACCTTTGATTTTACTCAAGGCATCTTCATGTCTGAAAAGTATTTGTTCTTTCTCGGCTAAAAAGCGTTCTCGCCTCTGGAGCTCCTCAGCGAAGTTCTGCTGCGCTGCACTCTCACACTGCATCAAAATGCCAGGTGTAAATACGTTAAGAACTCGCATGCATGCTGCACACTGCATTTTACTTGACAGACACTGTGGTCACCAAAGGGGTTTCAGAAACACATTTCTGGTACCTAAAGAAGCTGCATTACAGTAGTGTTAGACTAGTGCAGCAAACAGCTCCACAGAAACATCTGTAGAAGGGTGTAGCACTGAGAGTCATCAGAACTTGGGAGCCGTGGATCCAAATGCATCAGCACTGCTCAGAATAAGCTCCCAACCAGCTCAAATCCCTCACTCCACTTCAACTGCAGATCCAGCACTTGCCTACGCCCTCCATCCCCTTAGCCCTGCTGTCTTTCCATCACCTGGACTAAAGCACTGACCACCTTTTCTGACTGCTTTGTAACAACACAGAGAAACACTTGGAGAAAGGTCACACACCATGAAACACAGGATCCTGAGATTCACACTCTCAGTCTTCAACCAAGTTCTCGATGTAGCCCAAAAATCCTCAATATTTCCAGTCAGCTCTGTGCCCCCTATTCTCCAGAGAATGTGTATATCCACAAAATGGAGCATAGTATTTATTACTCAGCATGTAACACAAATGAACCTTGAAAGTACCCTGCTAAGGGCCGGGGATTTAGCTCAGTGGTTTCGTTGCCTGCTGCGCAAGTGCAAGGACCCAAGTTCGATTCCCGGTACCAAAAAAAAAAAAAAGAAAGAAAGAAAGAAAGTACCCTGCTAAGTGAAAAAAGCCAGTACTAATGGCCAAATAATATAAGGTTCTATTTGCATGAAATTCCAGGATGGACCAATCTGCTAGGCTAAGGAGAGTCAGGGAAAATGAGGAGTGACTGTTAATGGGAGAAGGCATCTTCAGGGATGATGATATACTTGAAAATCAGCTGTGACTGTAGCACAACCCTGTGAATATATTAAAAATAATCTAATTTTATACTAAAAACTAATGAGTCACAATTATAAAAGCAAAGAACAAATAAATCATCTCTTCCTCTAGTTTTCAATCTCAACAAAATCACCATTTACCCAACTGCCCCCAAATAACCTCCTGTTCTGCCCAAGTGAACCCTGTCCACCCTGCCCACCCTACCCGATGCAGAGCCCCAGTGCTCCCTTCTCCTGACCCTCCAGACCCAGTCCCTTTGCAAGCGGAAACCAGGCCCCACCAAGCCCCCTCACCCCACCCTCTCCAAGCTCCAGACAGACCCGTGTGCGGGGCCCCAGGCTGGAGGGTACATCCCCCCAAGCCCAGCACTGAAGGCTTGGTCACAGCAGCTTTCCACCACCATGTGCTCTGGCCTCAGTGTGCTGCCACACCAGACCTCAAAACAACAGGCAAATGATGTGAACTGAAACCTCCAAAATGGCCCAAATAAACCTTTGTTTTTCCTTTTCTTTCATTGTTTGGGGGGGAGGTGTGGGTGAGAGATGAGGATCTCCCTGTGTTGCCCAGACTGGTCCTGAGCTCATGGACTCAAGTGATCTTCCTGCCTCTCCCTTCCAACCAGCTGAGCCTAGAGGTGCACACCACTGTGCCTGCCCAACCTTCTGTCTAAGTTGACTGTCACACAGGCATTTTTCCAAACAGAAACTGTTCATTACACTTCTTCTTTCTCTACCCCAGTGGACACTTGACAAACACATAAACTACGTCCTTAGAAACAAACCCCAAAGGTAACAGAAAAGTCAGTGTTCACAGGTAAATTCCAGTGAGAGTTGACAAAGGACTTCTTACATATAAGTATTTTAAAACAAAGAACCTAGAACACATGCTTCAAATAGCACATTTTATCAGCAGGTTTGCTCATTACTGAAGGACGGGATTAAAATCAAGTCTACAATTAGGCACACACCTACAAATAAAAACACCACTGCTTCGTCTTTCTCTCACCCACTATGAATGAATTTGTTCCCTTCTGATCTTGCCCAAATTATGTAAATGATTAAAATAAAATACCTTGTATTCAAATTTTGCAAATGCTTGGTGCTTAGAACACAAATACTTCTGAATTCTCACTAAAGGATTCTGAACACCATTCTTACCTGCAGCTTCAGGTGTATCTGAAATAACTCATCATATATCTGGTTTATCTGAGGTGGAAGTAAACTCTGCTTGTTTGACACTCTGGAGTTTGGTCGGCTGGTGTGTCTCAGAGGGAAGTCTCTGGCATCGGCACTACCCCACTTGGCATGAGGTCCTGAGGCCACATCCGTTTCCAGGGCAACTGTAAAAGTTTTAAATATTCTCAGACACAGCAGTCTTCAGGAAGAGCTGCTGTAACATAAATTACAGTATTGCTACAAAGTCTTGAAAGAGAGAGAAAACTGCAGCAACACTGGTAAAAAGGGAACATTTAGAAAATCTGCAGTACACAGAAATTCACTTTGTGCAACTTTTCTGCAGATGTGAAATTATTTCAAACTTAATTAAAGTGCATAAAACCATTTTTGTATTAACTCCCCAGGCCCAGAAATGTACAGTTACCTCAGAACCTCCAAACAAACCACCCATGACTACAGTGCTAATCACTGCTTTTCTTTCCAATTCTGTTTACATTTGAAAAGTTCTAATTTGTTTTGTCTTTCTTATATATCTGTAATTATATAATTTCTATAACCTGTTTTTTTTGTTTGTTTTATTTTTTTGGTTTTTTAAGACAGGGTCTCACTTTGTAGTTTAGGCTAGCCTTGAACTCACAATGTAGCCCAGGTTGGCCTTGAACTTGGCAATCCTCCTGCCTCAGCCTCCCAAGTGCTGGTATAGCCTGCTTTAAATACTAAGGTATCCTTTGAAACATAGCCATGCTGATTCCAGGATGGTCTGAAAACTTCCCCACTCCATCCTGCTTTGTAAACAGGTGACAACACCCTCCCTGACACAGCCACCACTGCCTCCAAGTTCCTAGCCCACAGGCCCAGAGCTGCTCTCGGGACATAGCTGGGGCAAAAGCTCAACTGTACTGGTGGTACTACGCTGGATCCACAGTGGTGATGAGTTTACTTCCAACAGCGGTGGAGAGTGAGTTCATCTTGGCTCACAGCTCTGCATTCTGATTCACCTCTGCTCATACATAAGTTCACAACGTCCTCACAGCAGTTTTAATTGCTATAAGCCTCATAGCAACCCCAGCTTTTGGGGGAGGCACTCTACTCCAAATCTCAGACAGAAGCTAAAGAAGTCATAAATAAAAATAGAATGTTTTTTGCTTTTGGTATTTTGAGACAGGGTCTCACTATGCAGTTCAGGCTGGCCTTGAACTCACTATGTAGTCCAGGCTGGCCTCAAACTTGCATTGATCCTCCTGCTTGAGCCTTCCTCCTGCTTCAGCCTCCTGAGTCCTGGGATTATAGATGTGAGCCACCATGCCCAGCTATAAATTTAAAAAAAAAAACAAAAAACGTTTACAGGGTGGGTCCTGAGTTCGAGCCCCGGTACCAAAAAGAAAGTTTCACTTCAATTTAGCAAACACCTAAAAGTGGAAGAAGATATACTCAGAGCTTGGCTTGCCTTTCCAGGTCCCTGCCTCACTGGCTACTGGCCTGAGCATCTGTACTTTTTTGGTCAACTTTCAAATATATTCAACTTTTTCAATAGTTTATCCTGTTTTCAGTGGGAAAATCTACCATGTAATGGAAAGCACAGGTTCAGGCTGAATTAATTTTCATTGTCTTCAAATGCTGAGATCAGTGTGACAAAGAGGTGGGGTAACTGGGGACCAAGTGTGAGCAGCGTGTGCCCAGGAGACCCACGGTGCTGTGGATGGGACATGGCCAGGGGCAGAGGGCCCAGTGCCTACTGAAACCCTGGCAAGGCTGAAATGAAGCCAGGGACACAGAGAGGGTCTCTAGTTCAGTGCTGAGAAAGGCATCCCTTAAATACGGTGGACCCTCAAGTTATGACTAGCCTGACATAAGAACAACTTGGATTAATTAGGTTAATGGAAGATTCATCTGCCTCATTATCCACAGCATGTACCCAGGTAAACATCCAGACCTCAGCTGTATTGACTTACAACCAACTTGAGTTACAACCAGCCCTCAGAACCAATCAAGTTGGTAAGTCAAGGGCCCACTGTAATTGAGAGTCTCAAAATGTTATGGTTATTCAACTACAATCATGGCCTCATTTTGCATCAAATACCAATGTGAAAAAGAAACGAAGGCATTCTAAGAGTATTCAGGTAATTATGAATTCATTCTGATAAGTTTTGAGAACACAGGTATACAATTGGAAGATAACCAAACCAAGTTTACTTTTCTCTTCTCCTTTAGTTTAATAACAAGCACAGAAACCACCCATGAAGATACCACACACTGGGACTGGCCGAGCAAGTGCCTGCCTGGTGCATCCTGACATCAAAGGAGAGAGAATCAGACCCAGAAGCACAGGCACCCGAGGACTGAGAATGCTTTATTACATGAGTAAGCTTAAGTGTTCCAATGGACAAAAGCACTATTTCAATAAACATTTATTTTACCTTTTTCTATTTCTTTGAAAGGCTGCTTGGTCATTTTTGAGGTGTTAACTCTACGATGATTCTCAATTAACTCTTCCTCTATTTCCTGTTTCTTCAAGTCATGAAAAGAATCCAGTTCACCATCTAGGCTTTAAAAAAAAATTCTATCACAGAAATTTGGAGGTTTACTATAGCATTTGAAAAAGATAAAATTATTTGTCAAATATTAACAGCATGACAAATGAGAAAAATTTAAAAGTAAACACTTTAAAAAAATAAAAATTAAAAAATTAAAAGTAAACACTTTTAAAATGTTAAAAACATGGAAAAGGTAAAAATGTAAAAACCAAAGCCACTGATTCTGTTAACCTATTATAGTATCTTTCAACATTTTTCACACATTAAATTATTAATTTAATTTAAAGCTACAAGACTGGGGATTTAGCTCAGTGGGTCTGCCGCCTGCCCTGCAAGCACAAGGACCTGAGTTCAATCCCCAGTACCAAAAAAAAATTAAAAATAAAAATTTTTTTTTAAAAAATAAAGCTACATACATCTGAAAAATGCTCTACCAAACTTTCTTTGGATCCCCAGCAGTCAGTGAGACAGATGTAACAGGTACTGCTGTCCATACTTTTAACTAAAAAATTAATGAGGGACTTGAACCCTAAGGAAGTCAATAGACAAGTGACAGAAATGGGGAAAGGGGCAGCACAACTATGACACCAGGTGTCCCTTCACAGATTATCAGAGTTGAAATCTGTACAGCAGCCACGTTCAAAGGAATGTAATTCAAGTAACATGGGTAATTTAAGTACACAGGTAATTTAAATTTTTCTGGTAGCACATCAAAAACATAACAGAGGCAAAACTTTTAACAATGGGGCAACCCATTGGGGACCCCTCCTGTCTCTCAGGAGCTATCACTATTTCCCTTTTTTTTTTTTTGGTATGAGGATCGAACTCGGGTCCTTGAGCTTGCAAGGCAGGTGGGAAAACCACTGAGCTAAATCCCCAGCCCTACCATTCTTATTTCCTATTCCTATTCCCTGTAGAGGACTGTAATATTGATTATGCCCAAAGCAGGCTGTAAAAAGTTAACCCCACAATTGGCTTGTTTATAGAAAAGTGAGTCTGGCTGAAGCCTATGTGCCAAGGTCAGTGTAACTCACACACAAATTCTGTTCCCACAACTAAAACCTTCTGACTAGAAGGGCAATGTTCTAATTACAACCATATATTTTGTCTCTTCTGTTCCTAATTCGAGAATGCTTTGTCTTGTCCTTTATGAGCCTTGTTTACATTAATTTCCATAGAAACCACTGGTGGCTCACCTTTTTTTTTTTTTGGTACTGGGGATCGAATTCAGGTCCTTGTGCTTGCGCAGCAGGCGGCGAAACCACTGAGCTAAATCCCCGGCCCATGGTAGCTCACCTTTAACCCAGTTGATTGCCAATAAAAGTCAGTGCCTGGGACTGTCCAGTGCCTTTGTCAGTTGTATCGGCATTGGTCATCCTGGCATCCGGTTTCTCTCCTCGTTTTGTCTTTTAGTTTTATTTCTCAGGCCTGTGTCACAGACTGGGCAGGTGGATACTGGAACCTAACTGCAGGGGTCACTGGCAATTCCTCATTCCTATTCCCCAATAAATGTTCCTACTCTTAAAAAAAAAAAACCTTGAAAAATGTATTTAACTGTATACATCTAAAATGTTACTATTTCAATAGATAACAAAAAATGATTATGAAGATATTTATGTTCTCTTAACCATGCTAAGTTTCTGCAATGCAGTGCATACTTTACACCTACAACACCTCGATTCAGACCAGCCCCTTGTGGTACTCTGCACCCACATGAGGCCTGTAGCCACCTGTAGCCACAGTGCTGACAGCATACTTCAGACTAGATCACATCCAAGAGTCAGAAAACTGTCCAATGCCACAAAAACCTTCACAGCACTAAACTTCCAAATTGTAGTTTGGAGTTACACAAAAGTCATTTATACAAATGGAAAAATGATTAAGCTAGCAGTTAAACACAGGAAAATAATTTCCATAAATTCATAGCTGTTACTTAAAAGCAATTTCACTTACCCTACTGTACAACCTCGCTCATGTCCACATTTCAAATCTAGACTATTATGTGAATGCCAAATGAAACCATAGTAACAATAATGATAACAGTTCACATTTGAGGGCTTTACTATGTACCTAGCACACTTCAAAGTGCTCTACATGAATTGATTCATTTAAGAGGCAATTTGTTTATAAAAGTCAAGCTCCCAAATATCATTACATTAACAGTATAGATATTGTATTTTAGGCATAACTGTCTTTTTTCTCTCCACAATTATGTCAATACTTCATTTTGTATGTGCAAAGACCCAGATTGTCTTACATTAATTTAAAACATTTTCTTCTTCTTGATACCTACAGCATTCTTTCTACCATACATTGTCATTAAACAATATTCAATTTAAAACTGGATTTCATTCTAGCTTCCTTGTTTTTATACTCTTTACCTATAGTAAACACAGCCCCAGGTAGCCAGCACTGTACCACGTGTATTTTGTAGTGTCCATCTCCCCAACTACACAACATGCAGTCTTTATGCTCTACTAGACATACAACAGAATCTATGCTGAACATCACTACCCAAAAAGCCTGTACTCAGTTTCCCTCCTTTAAAAAAAAAAAAAAGAAAGAAAGCAGGGCCTTCATTTGAGTCTTTGATGAATAAATATCAAAACTTAATAAATGATCTCAACTATTTAGCAGGCTCCACATTGCTTCTACTTTCTCTCAAGGAAAAGCAAATATGTGAACTATCTGACCTTTACCCTTTCTCAGTTTCTTCAGACACTGAGGGAAGAGTAACAGGAAGAACTCAGGATAATTTACCGATTCACATTTAAGTGTTTGAATGAACTGCAAAAAGGCATCACACAAAGCTTTCTTTCCTCAGAATAACATCTTAATGATGAACCGACTTTATCTCCAGAGCAGTAGATATCCAAATCATCTGCAACGAAAAAGATGGCATACTGATGTAAGACACAGATCTCTCACTCTAACCTCATGAAGGCCACTCCAAAACTGCTGAACTGTTTTTATCCAAAGCTCTCCCTGTAACAAGCTTACAGAAAACAGGATCAAATCTCGCATTTACATAGTACTTTAATGATTACAAAATCCTTTTCCATTCTTACCTTGTATGAGCCTAGCAACAACGTGTCAAGGAAAGTAAGCAGCATTGATGCCTTTAACCCTGTTCCAGCAGATTAAGAACTTAAAAGCCAGAGAGCTGAAGTGACTAATGGTTAACATATACATTACTACCACTATATACCTCGGCTACACATTACCACATTACAGCCCATTAATCCCATAGCATAATTATCTTTTCCAAATTTTTGATATATTTCTCCTCCACTGTAGTTACCAACCTAGTAATTCAGCAAAGTCCATGCCTAAAGAAAGAGCAATAAGTTTTCTTTACCCAATATAGTCAGTTTAACTTTTTACACGTTCAAAGGCAGACATATTATAAGTGAAAACACCAAAAAAAAATTTTAAACCTCATCCAGTTTAATTCTTAGACATGTCATTTACCCCAAACATCATGGTTCCCAGTAGCCCATTACCAGATTGAAGGAACCCTAAGTATCACAAGATATCTAGCACTAAATAACGTCTACAAAACTCTTAAATCTGCTTAAACAAAAGATACAAAATATCCTATTGGCTTACCTGGGTAGGTCAGCGATCTTCTCTTACACTGAGCCTGATCAAAATTTGAAAAGTGATACTAAAAAAAAAAAAAAGACACAATTTATACACTGAGAATGAGTTTACTGTCTTAAAATATTCTTAACAAATCATAATTACAAAGGTGAACCTGCGAAGTGACCATGCAGAACCCTAGCGGCATCCTAAGCAGGTGACAAAGTCAGGGGCACCAGTGAGGCGACGCCTCTGAGCGCTGGGCAACGCACACCGCCCCGGGCCTTTCTTGCCGCGACTGCCCTCCTCGGGCTTTCGAAGCTAGGGGAGGAGAGGGCAGAAGCGAGCAGAGTGGGCGAGTGCACCTGCTCCTCGCCCTGCCTGTGGACAGCGCCCCGCAGGGCCCAGCCAGACGCCGGTGAGCGAAATCCCCAGGGACGCGGAGTCGCGGGCCCAGCACCACCCGGCGCGTCTGCGTGGGGACACAGGCAGGACCCGCGGCGGGCACCGAGAGCGCCCGCTGCCTCGCGACCGTATGGAAACCAAACGACCGCAGAGTGACAAGTCGGGAAGAGGGACGACGGGCCACCGCTCGCCCGGCCAGCCGGCCCTCCTGCCTCACCCCACCAGCGCCGCTGCCCCCGAGCCCGTAGCAGCTCTTCAGACGCTCCACTAGTAAATCCTGTCCTGGCGACTTCACGATGCACGGCTCCATGGTGCACCGAGGATTGGCGGTCTCCCCGGGCGCCGCGTTCAAACCGGCCCGGGGGCGGGGCCGCGCCGAGACGCATGAGGCTCCGCCCCTGGCACGCTGGGCGGGGCGAGACGAGGCGGAACTCTGGGGCACGTGTGCGCTACGACGCACGTGGCCCCGCCCTCCAAAGGGTAAACTGGGCTGTGGGCGGAGCTCGCGCGGCAAAGGCGCAGGGCATTAGATCCCACCCGCCGGGGGGGTACTTCGAGCTATGGGCGGGGCTCGCGGGACTCAGGCCCCACAGGAAAGCGACAGGAGTCACCTAGCACCTTGACGGTTTATGATCCTAGTGTTGCGGGTATTTTTAGTTTACTACGGATGACTCAGTGATCTTTGGCAATACGTCTCCCGTAGAACCTTACGGAGTAGGCTTAGGATGTAGCTACACACCGAAACACCCGTCTTCACCACAGGTGGCCTGTCACCCAGAAGACCCTCCCAGAGATCACTTCCTTTCCTCCCTGCGTGCCTTCCCCATGTTAGGGGAGGGGTATCGAAGAGAACACAAACTTCCTTTAAAAAACAAACGAAAAGGCCCTCCCAGTGCATAGCTCAGTCTTTACTGGTTTATCAACCCAAAAACCGACAGTCAACAGATTAAGGGGAACAGCTGTAAACTGTGATTGTCTGGTGCATCTGGATTACTTTTAAAGTTCCCAAATGCCCGAACTGTATATCAATTCAGCAAAGTACTTATCATCTAAGATTTAAGCCAATACTTTAATCCATAAAGTATTATAAAATGCATAATGAGTTAATTCCATCTTTAAGCAGATTTTAACAATATAAAATCCAGCCAGTTTGAAAAAAGTACCTATCAACGTGGGTTTATAGTAGCATACAGTTCTTTCCTGACATGTGACACGAAGGTGTTTTTATAAATGCAAGCCACTGCTAAGCATCTATGGGAAAATCAGTTCACATGTCATTTTGTGAAATTTTTCATAAAGTTCTTAAAGCTTCTGAATTTGTAACTAATACTTTAATAGGATACTATGAAATCTACAAAAAAGTCTCTTGAAAAGCACTTGCATTTACTTAGAATTTATTTTAAATTCATGATAATGGTATCAACAGTCTCAGGTGAAAATTTACAACACTTTTTATATCAATTACACAGGTTTCCAAAGAAGTCAATTCTAAATATTAAATGCAAATATACGTAATCCACAGTTCTCTAAGGTTCAAGGGGATGCAAGTGACACATTTAGGGTAGGTTTCTTTGTGGCAATGTCCCTGCCCTCATCACACTGGGGGTTGAACAGGTACTCAGTAATACAGGATACTCTATTTCCAAATCACCACGTGAGAGGGAGTAAACCTCACTGTCTTTCCTCACTAGACAGAAAGAGGTATTGCCACTGGGAAGGGAAGAAGGCAGTCAATCTTCATGATTAGAATATACAAAATTTTGTGTTCCAGTTAGATTCCTTGAAGCTCTACACAGTAAAAACAACCCCTCTTTATCAGTTTGCCTAACTTTTGGCAGAAGCTACTTCAAACTTTGTTTTCAGTGTGTATCAACCTTGTTAAAATCATGTGGCAGTTTATTTTGCTGACTTTTAATTGTCCTCCTCACTAGAACAGACAACTAGATGCACAAGTAACAAACTTTTAAATGTCATGGTGGTATCAACTGTCACTTTATTTGTGCTACAAAATTCACCAGAAAGTTACTGCAACAATCTAATATAAAGCAAATCTTTAACCAAAGAACATGGTATAGACCTTTTAAAAATATCCATTCTTTATCACAATAACTGCAAGGAAAAATTCAATTCTATCATCAGGACCAAGCTGAAGTTTCTGAGGTAGTACAGACAGATAACAAAAAAAGAAAAAAAAAACCCCACAAAACTAAGGAAAAGTTGACCAGTTTTTAAAATTTATCTTCAAAGGGCACAGGAAGCTACATATTTTAAGAAAGAAAGTATTCCACTTAAAAGTAAATTTGAATTACACAGGAGGTGTAAAGATTATACAGAAGAGCACTTTGGTTAACTATCTTCTGTGGCTCTACCCACTCATAAACGAGTCTCTGTGCATAAATAAGCACATCAATAATTAAGATCACTGATATACATACTTCAGATCTAAAATAAAATTGAGTTGTGGTCCCTATATTCAAATCGTTAAGTATATCCATGCAGGAAGTCCAGATATCTTAAAAGGAATTAAAAATTAAATTGCATATATCATATTCCTTCAATAGTTTGCGAAGGTCTATTGCTTTTAACAAGATTAGTATTATTCCATTTTAATACAGATATGTCAGGAGTACATAAACACAAGTACACCTGAAATACATCAGTGTTTAAACTTTTATTTCACACCATGCAAGGTCAATTATAACACATTAAAAAGTGACAACAGCTATACGCTGCAATTTTACATTTGTACATTGGAAATGTCCATTTTCAAAAGCTGAACACAATTACCATATTGTCTGTAATGGGTAAGTTTCAATTCAACTGCTTATACAGATAAAATTTACTATGAAAAACAATGATTTTATAGCTGTCCACATTCTATGATACTAATTCTTCGACTAACAGAACCTGTGGGAGAACCAAATGATTCAATCTTTTTCACAGTATCCATGCCATCCTTAACAAACCCAAACACTACATGTTTAAAGTCCAAATGTTCTGTCTTTTTCAGTGTTATAAAAAATTGAGAATTATTAGTATCCCGGCCTCGATTGGCCATAGATAATAAGCCAGGGCCAGTATGCTTCACATTAAAGTTTTCATCTTCAAATTTATCTCCATAAATGGACTTTCCTCCTGTCCCATCATATTTGGTGATATCTCCTCCCTGAAAAAGATTTTTTAAAAAAATTAACAGCAATCCTGAATGATACATTAATATACACACAATGCCCTTCCTTAAGAATGCAATTTGAAAAATAAATATGTACTTTTGAGAGAAGACAAAAAAAATAAAAGGGCCGAGTGTAGTGGCACAGGCCTGTAATTCCAGCCTTGGAAAGCTAAGGCAGGAGGATTGCCATGAGTTCAAGGCCTGCCTGAACTACACAGCAAGACCCTCTCTCAAAAACAAATAAAATAAAATGATCTTTTCCCTCCTTCAATTTCCAACAGGTTCCACCATTATTAGAAATATGTACCCTTCTGGTACAAAAGTTTAGAGCAGGTACAGGAAGTTGAGTGATGACGCCAACTACTGAACAGGAAAGTTAAAGAAATCTCAAGACAACTATGGGATGGGGTCAAGAAGAAACACTCCAATTTCCTGAGTTACTGTGGCATACTCTTCTAGAACTTATACTGTAATTATTAATACTTACTTGACAAACAAAATCTGGAATTACTCTGTGAAAAATGGAGTTCTTGAAACCAAAGCCTTTCTCTCCAGTGCATAGTGCTCTGAAATTCTCAGAAGTTTGAGGAACAATGTTTGAAAGTAACTCCATGGTTATTCTTCCTAGAGGTTCCTCATCTGCACAAACATCAAAGAACACCACCGGGTTGGTCTCCTTTGATAATTCTGCTGCCAGTGACACCTGTCCTTTCTGAAGTTTCAATAAATTCTGCTGACATTCTTCAAATTTTTTCTTAAAACACTCAGCCATTTCTTTTGTTTTAAATCTCACTGCAAGCTGTTCCACTTTTGCTTCACCATCTATTGAAAGAAAAAAAGGCCTTAGCATTAAAATAATTTATAAATTGTGTTACATTTGTTACAGGTTTTAGAAAAGTCAAATGAATGGAAAGTAGCAGCAGCAGGTAGCAACTCACCTGCATAATCTGAGGCAGTCCAAACTAAAGCGTTATTTGAAACATTTAAGGGTTTTAACTCCATTGTTTTAGTAATAACATGGTTTGCACACACTTTAAAGACCTGGTCTCTTCTCATCAGGATCCGGTAATAATTCTTCATTGTGTGCCAGAGAATCTTAATATCTCCAACACCACGCTCCTTCCACTGACTGACATCTCGATCCCATCGATAAAGTTTGGCTCTCTCTTTAAACAAAATTTCTTCATCTTCTTCTCCAGATTTTACTTCCACCTATAAACAGATGATTATTCATAACTGATGCTTGTAATAAATATGCTGGGTTTTTTGTTTTTGTTTTTTTTTGATACCAGGGATCGAACTCAGGATCTTGTACTTGCAAGGCAGACGGCGGAACCACTGAGCTACCAGCCCATAAACATAGCAAATTTTCCCATACCTAAATTTTCTAACATATTTTCTTTGTAATGACATTAACAGATTTTTTTGGGGGGGGTACCAGGGATCGAACTCAGGACCTTACACTTGCGAGGCAGGCACCAGAACTACTGAGCTAAATCCCCAGGCCAATTAACAGATTTTTTAAGTATGAAAACTGATGCTAAGACCCTAAGACTGGGAACACACCTGTTTTGGTGGAAGCAGCAAAGATCTACTTTATCTTTATATGGTTTGCTACTATGGAGCATTCATTCTCCCCCTAGAAATTAAATGCCTTCCTTTCTAGGTCAGAAGAAGTTTCAAAAAGTGCTGATTCTTGAAAAGATAATATTAACCAATGACAAACTGAACAATGACAAAAATAATTTTCATCAAAAAATACTCTTATTTTTAAAACATGCAAAGGTTATTTCTTATTGAAAAGTCTTTGACCAAGTACAGGAACTTATTTTGGTCTCCAGAATTATGAAAACATGGTATTTTAACATACGAAAAAATTATTTACTTCCTCCCAACAATTACATAGGTAGCTCAGTGATAGAGCCCAGCACACACAAAGACCTGGGTTTGATCCCTATCCCTATCACAGCACACACACAGGTTGGACTTCTAACAAGAAATTCTGAAAGAAACAACACTATCCCTACATAACAAGCAAGGCTAAGTTTTAAACTTAAATTGAAAAATATGCTACAAGTAAAACTTTCGTCCCTTGATATTTACCTCTGGCAATGACACTATTGGTTCAAAATGGATATCTTCACTATGAACTACTTCTTCATCGCTACCGTCTTCATCTTCACCAACTTTACGGGTTGACTGTGTTCCAAACACAGCTGCTCCAGTATTCGCCCACTGGAAATTTTTATCTGGTAAATAAATTAGGATATTTAAACAATGGAATATATTCTTATTAAAAACTGTTTATCCAATTTAGATTACTTTATCAATGCATCTAATCAACAATGTGATATACACATATTAACAATGTTAAAAATATTGTGACAATTTCAATTCCTATATATAGGAATAAAGCTAACTGTAGAAGATTTATGGTTTCAAATACTATCTCTAACCATATAACAAAGACAATGAGTTGATCTGAAACTAAATAAAAAATACAAACAAAAGTACAGACAAAAAAAGCTTTGATGAAATGACAAGCAAATTCCTGTCAAACTGTAAGAACAAAGTATTTTTTAAAAAGGCTGGTGGGTGATCTCACTGAAAAGAGTAAGGAAATGGTGCAGCAGAGAATGCAGGGGCCAGACTCCTCCTGGTACTGCCAGAACATTATGTGAGGAGGATGCAGTCAATATAGCAATTCTCATTTGGTGTCTTTTGCAAATAATTATACCCAAATGTTACCAAAATGGATTAAAAACAGAAACACCACTGGTAAGATGTGTAATATAATCACATATGACAATATATAACAATCATATAACAATAATATACATTAGCACAATAAATTATAACCCTAATACTGAAATCCAAATCATCTTTAAAAAATCTAAATGTATAGTTGAAAGAATGTTACTAAAGTTAGGTATATTCCAAAACTGAGAGATAGTTTTGCAGTCTTAATTATACAAATTAAGAGAAAATTCTTACAGTTATATTATTAATAAAATGTAGAAAACCTTCATTAAACACTAAATAAATGGAAGGGAGGCTGATTTACTTAGTTACAACACTGGAAAACAAAAGATTATTTCCTTTTGTTCTGAATGATTCTGTAACATGGTCATTAAAATCTCTCCGCTTGATCTTACCTTTAGAACCAAAAGCAAAATCCCCAGAATTACTAGAGGCCAAGTCTGCAAATGACAGTCCTGTACCACATCCAAATCCAAATGAAACTGTTTTGTTTTCTACTGGAAAAGAAAAAGAACAATTTACTATTTAATTTAATATACACTGAACATCAAAGCTTTACCAGGACGCAGAAAAAGTACTGGACCGTCTACACTATTCTGATAAGTTATTATAAACCTAACAAGTACTACTCCCAATGAAGGCCGTAATACTACACCAAATGCATGCCAGAAATCAGTGAGATGTGGAGTTACCTACACTAAGCTGGATATAAAACTACACAGCTTTTGCTGTGTAGTCTTTTACATTTTTTTTTTTTGAGATGAAGTCAGCTATGTAGTTCAGGCTGGCCTCAAACTCATGATGATCCTGCCTCAGCTTCCCAAGTGCTGGGATTACAGGTGTGTGCCACCACACCCAGTTTAGTCTTTAACATTTTTTAAAAATTAATTTTATTGGTACATTTTAGGTATACAATATAATGACACATTCATCATTGGAAATTTGTATCTTTATGTAATCTACCTTGGTTCTTATTTTTTCCCCATTCCCCTGCCCTCTCTTCAACCCCTCCACCCCTCCCTGTTTACAAAGACTTTGTTTCCATTTTTTCATTTTCTCATATTAATTCCATTCCCTTCTTTCCTTTCCCCTATCCCTCCTACTTCCCCCTCCCCTTTGCACCTTTTCTTCCTATTTCACATTAGTCTTTTACATTTTAAAACAAGAAATCAAAAGCAGAATTTTAGGGAATATCTATATAAAAACTTTCAATGTTCTATATTATAAATAAGCTCATAAAAATCAAATGTCTCATTATACTTGGTCATCAAAAGTTTAGAGGGAAAAAAAAAAGTTTGGGAGTCGCCGCCTGCCCCATAAGCGCAAGGACCCAAGTTCGATCCCCGGTACCAAAAAAGAAGTTTGGGAGTCTTGTCTGAATTTTATTCAGGTTTAGCTGATCTCCGACATTGCTATGCCTCAGTTCATTCATCTGAAAATGTAGAGGTTTTACATGTGAAGTGTCCCGGCCCACGGGTAAGTCAACGGAGACCCTAGAGGGGGAGTGAGAATGACAAAGGACAGGGGACACGAGAGATGGAGACAAGACAGGTTTCTGATCAAGTCTCGTTTATTGCGGAAGCTGCTACAGCATATATACCGTAGGGCTAGAGGGAGGGAGCAAGGGGAGGGTACTGGGGCTACTTCCTTGTTGCCGGGTAGACTTGCAGCAGGCTTAGACATGCCCGTAAAAGGCACTCAAGAGTACTAGTGGGGGGCGGGGGGTCAAGGCCCCCCACAGTGAAGTTACCCTCCTCTTCTAGTGTATTAAAAATAAGCACCTATGGGGCTGGGGATTTAGCTCAGTGGTTCCTGCACCCATCTTGCAAGCGCAAGGTCCCGAGTTCGATCCCCATACCAAAAAAAAAAACCAAATTAAACACCTATAAATGTACCACTTCTGACTTATTTTGAACCTTTAAAAAAGGTAATGTAGACACAATGCAATGTATAAAGCAAAATAATTTATAGACACTTCCTCTATATCAAAAAAATAAAAAATGAAAATGGAAAATCAGGAAGAGAGCAATACCAAATATTAGTTACTCTGCATACTTAATTTAGCAACCTTTTAAACCTGTGGAGACATTTAAACCCCTATTACAGTACCTCTACTTCATATGTAACTAAAACATTCTGGATAGGTGAATGGTAACATAACTAATTCAATTGTGATTCTAATAAATTCAGTTAAGATTCTAATAAAAATACTATCACAAAGGAAGTTATTGAGGAAGCAAACCCTTGTCTTTTGTGCCCAGCTAGGTCAGAGTCACAATAATTTCTATTCCCTAATAACCGTAACTCTAACAACAGAAATCCCAGCTGCTATCACTGTTGGCAAGACAGTGTGATTTTTCTGATTATCACTCATACCTTATGGCCCTTGATACAGCTTAAAATTTGTTTTCAAGCCTAGCACGGTGGGGCACACTGTAATCCCAGCTACTCAGGAAGCTAGGGCAAGAAGATAGCAAATTTGCCAGTGTGGGCAACTTAGTGAGACTTTGTCTCAAAAAATAAGAAGGGCTTGGCCAGGCATGGTGGCATACATCTGTAATCCCAGGACTCAGGAAGCTGAGGCAGGAAGATCGCCATGAGTTCTAGGCTAGCCTGGGCTACACAAGGAGTTCAAGGCCAGTCTGAAGTACATAGTGAGATTCTATCTCAAAAAACTAAAAAACAAAACCAAAAGAGAAGGGCTAGAGATGTCACTCAGTGGTAGAGTGCCTGCCTAGCATATGTGTGACCCTGGGTTCAATCCCCAGTGCCATAAAAATCATCACCACCATCATCTTGTTTTCAAGTGAGTTTTTAGGATGTACCTTTAAAAGTTTATTTTCAGGTCCATCTTCTCAAACTTACAGCTATGTTATATAATGAATGATAAAATACACAGAGCAACTTTTACCTTGGCTTGCAGATTCTGTGTCAGTTTCTGTTCTGGCAGACAAATCCACAGGCTTGTCCACAGTCCCAGAGGAAAGATGTGGCGAAGTGGTGGCTTTGGTGACAGGATCTGGTACAGCCAGTGTGGTCCCAGCTGAACACACACCATCAGTTGAGCTGGTTACATCCTCCCTCTGGGACTTCTGCAAAGAGGTGACAAGATACTATGCCATTAAATACTGATAAAAAGGAGGACACAACCTACTTCAGAAGACACTAAGGATGTAGACTTCCAGATGATAAATATATTTCACTCTATCATTCCCCAAACCTACAGCTAGATGCCTGCATTGAAACACAGAGTGCAGTGGTGATGAACCTACGGCACATGTGTTGTTTTCCTTTTAAAATGAAAGATGTTAATGTATGAACTGTTTTTTCTAAACTAGAACTTCAGTACTTGGGTTTAACTGCAGTGTTGGCACTCTGCGATAATAAGTAGGTTTTGGGTTGTAGTTTGGGCACTCGTCTCTAAAAGGTTTACCATCACTGACATAAGGGCAACCATACTAAGGCCCTGAAAGGAGGATGAACAAGGAACACAAGAGGGTAAAGTGTCACAGGACTAGAGAGAGAATCTGGCGGTGAGACACACGTTGGCACTTTTCTTCCTCCCCTACAGTCCAGCCTGGGTGCCAGAGCAGCCCAATAAACTGGAACTGCCAACGATGCAAACAAACAAAATTCCCCCAAAACCCAGACAACAGGGCCAGAGATTTAGCTCAGTGGTTCCGCCACCTGCCTCATAAGTGCAAGGACCCAAGTTTGATCCCTAGTACCAAAAGAAAAAAAACCCCAGACAACAGGCTTTGGTCAGAGGAGGGAGTGTGCATCAAATGACCTACAAGTTAAAACATCCAACTATGAACTTTAAAGAGGCTTTGAAAGTAATTGTTCCAAGAAGAACAAACTCTTAAAGCAAGTGAAGAGATAGAAATTTGCAGCAAAGAAACAGAAGTTATTAAAAAAGAACCAAATAGAAACCTTACAAGTTAAAAGTATAATAGCAGAAATAAAGTTCCTAGACCCTGAACCAACAACAGCAGAATACACATTCTCCACAAGCTCACGTGGAACATTTACCATGAAGACCAACCACACTCTGGGGCTGGGGTGCAGCTAAGTGGTATAGCACTTGCCTATCGTGCATGAGGCCCTGAGTTTGATCTTCAGCAACACCAAAGAAACAGAATAAAGAAAAAAAGAAGCTGGGTCTGGCTGGCAGAGCAAGTCTATAAACCCAGCACTCTGGGAGGCTGATACACAAAGATTCCAAGTTTGAGCTCAGCTGGGCAACTTAGCAAAATCTTGTGTCAAAAAAAAAAACCAGGTTGGAGATTAGCTTAGTGTGAAAGCCCTGTATTCAATCCCAAGTATTACAAAATAAAGGGAAAAAAAACCAAATTCTGGGCCATAAAACACAACTCAACAAACTCAATACAAATCCCACAAAGCACAGCCTCAAACTATAATGGAAATAAACCTGAAATCTCCGACAGAAACGTTAGCTAGAAAAATCCCAAACTATTTGGGGACTACACACACATTTCTAAATAATACATGTCAAAAAAGAAGTTTCAAGAGAATGTAGAACAATAAAATTTTAAATACAAATTATCAAAATTCGTAGGGTACACTAAAAGCCAGGATGGGAATGTTTATAGCAATGAATGCATAAATTTAAAAAAAGATCTAAAACAAAAATCTAAACTTCTACTTTACCGGGCCGGGGATTAAGCTCACTGGCAGCATGACTGCCTTACAAGCACAACGTCCTGAGTTCGATCCCCAATACCAAAGGAAAACAAAAAACTTCTACTTTACCAAACTAAAGAAAGAAAAGCAAGATAAATTTACAGCAAGATAATAAGATCAAAAATCAACGAAATGAAAAATCAGTACAGAAAACTCAATGAAACCAAAAGCTGATTTGTTGAATACATCAGTAAAATTGATAAACCTGTTTCCAAGCTAATCAAGAAGACACAGATTAAATCAGAAATGAAATCAGACCCAACACTATTGATTCAGTCCCATTAAAAGGGTAATAAAAAAGTATCAGACATGGCTGGATGCCCACAAACTTGATCATTCTGATGAAATGGGAGCCAGTGCCCGGAAGGCACAATCTTTCAAAACTCAGAGGAGGAATAATCTCAACAGGCAGCAAATCGTTCTGCAGAACACGGTAAGTGTATACACTTACTGTTAGGTGTCCCTCACACTTCACAGGAAGCGCAGTACCTAGATTGGGCCTGCTTATACTCTGAAGCGCACTCTGGGTCAGGACACACAAGCAGGGGTTCAGGGACAGTGGCGGGCACGCCCTCTGGTGGCAGATGTTGATGAGAGGCTGTGGCTAACTGGGGTGGGTGGCACAAGGAAAGTTTCTGTTTTCCTGTGAACCTAAAACTGCAAGTCTCCTTTTTAAAAGTTCCACTAGAGGAGTCAACAGCAGATTTGAGCTGCCAGAAAAAAAATTAAGACACTGAAGATAAACTCAGATTATGTAGTCTGAGGACTCTAAAGAAAAAGAGAATGAAGAAAATTGAACACAGCTTTGAAGATTTAAGGTAATACCATTAAGCAGAGCATCAATATGAAAAATGAGGAACCAGAGGGAGAGGAAGAGGACAGAATATCTGAAAAATGTCTGAAAACAGCCATTGAAGAAAACCAATGTACACATACAAAAAGCTTTATAACTCCAAGTAGGATAAACTCAGACACACATGTAGCAAGATCAACCAAGAAAAAGTAAGAAGATGGAGCATTTCAATGTTGAACCTACAAACATTAAAAGACTAATTAGGGATTATAAGGATCAACTGTACACACATGAATCTGACACCAATTCCTTAAAAGACGCTGTCCTGTCACCAGTTCAGAGTGGGGAGGTTCATATGAGATACAGGCAGCCAAAATGTCAGAAGATGCCTTGCTCTCAGCTGCTCAGCTCAGCTCATCTTGTCTGCCCGGCTGCCCAGGTGCCAGCCGTCACCCGCCACCCATTTCTATATATAGCTGTACACTCATCCAGCAGACCCTAGCTGGTCTGCATACTCTCACAGCAGTCTAGATTTATATAGTAGAAAAGAACACAAGAGTGGCTCTGTGCCAGTATCAGCCTGGGTATATGGGCTATTTACTCTGAGACCATGAGGTGCGTCTGCACTGGAGTCCTGCTAACTCAGGCCTTATGGTTCCCTAGAAACAACCCCCCCCCACAGCTTGAACTGTAGGGTAGCCATCTTTGGCTTTTCTCTACAGACACAAATTACTAAAAGCCACTCAAGAAAAAAGGATATCACTTGAATGAAATCCTAAATAGTGCTTCTATTCACTGTTATTTTGAAATTCTTAAGAAAACTCTAGACTCATATGGGTCCACTGGCTACCAATCATTAAGGAGAAATGGTTCCAATTTGAGATAATACTGCTTAGAAAATAGCACAGGAAATGTTTCCCAATCCATTCTATGATGCCCACATTAACTCTTATTTAGGAGGTTAAGATGATACCAGAAAACTATTGACCAAGATCCCTGATGAACATAAATCCACAAGTTGTGATAAAATGCACACAAATTGAACCCAAATGCATATAAAAATTATAATATACTATGACCAAGGGAAGTTTATCCCAGGTTTGCAATGTTGGTTTTCTGAACATTGAAAAAAATTGTCACTCACAGATTTATGATCACAAGATTTGACAATATTCTTTATTTAAAATAAAAACTCTAGGGCATGGTGGCACACACCTATAATCCTAGCACTCAGGAGGCTGAGGCAGGAGGATCACTGTGAGTTTGAGGCCAGACTGGACTACACAGTGAGTTCACGGCCAGCCTGAACTACCTAGGAGACCCCGTCTCAAAAAGGAAAAAAAACCAACTAAACTGTGGGTGATGGTGTGTGACAATATATAATCTTAATGTTCCACATAAAGAGTTTCTTTGTACCTAAAGAATCCTGGTTAGCAGGTCAAGGTGGCACATGCCTGTAATCCCAGCATTTGGGAGGCTGAGGCAGGAGAACTGCCACAATTTCAAGGCCAGCCTGAGCTATATAGTAAATTCAAGGCCAGCCTGAACTACACAACAAGACCTTGTGTCAAAAAATAAAACAAAATGAATCACGGTCAGGTTTTGACTGGTACCGTCTTGAATCTCCAACTCAATCTGGGGAAATGTCACCCACTAGCTATGCAGAGTGTTTCGTTTTTCTACTCATCTTCTCTACCTGCGAGCCACAACCTGTTACCACCACGTGATGAGAACGTGCTAGCAGAGACTAGGGTGGTGGTCTCACCTGGGCTTCCTGTGCCTTCTGGAGCTCAGCCTCAAAGTCCTCCCCACTTCCATTGTCCTCCTCAGTATCACTGCAGACTCCACAAAAGAAAGTCGGTGGAAGCTTTAATGTATCTGCTTTTGCCTTCTCTTCAACTGTTGGCTTCTTTTCCCAAACAATAACACACTCTTTCTCATTATCTGAAAAATCCATACAACACAGGCAAAAGAGAAAATCAGATGAAGCGTAACTACTCAAGAGTCTTCAATACACTCCACACACCCAGCCAATGCTAATGGAGACCAGGACCACCAAAAGGCCAAAATGTTGTTCACACAGTATTAGTTTTAAATATTTTCAGTTACCATGAATGCATTACACAAATAAAAGCAATGACAGAAATGATTAAATCATGTGGTTCCTTTTAATAGAGTTGTTTAAAACATTATTTTGCCATTTTAAACCTAACATACCTGCTAGATTTTCTTCCAATGGCCTACATTTTTCTGAATCATCCAGATAGAGTTTTCCGTTTAGTTTCTTGACCGCCATTTCAAAATCTTCATCTTAAAGTACAATTGATAATATTAGATAAAAGAATGTCTAGTCAAATTCTGAGGGCTTTCAGCCACCAACCCGGGATTATGTCCAGCTTCCCGTTCCCGGTCCTCGAAGAACCCTGTCCTGCCAATCCAGGCCCCAGCCTCAGCAGTGCCCTCCATCAAGGCTTCTGGCTCACACACCCTGCATGCCTGGCCCCCTCCCCTACACCACTGCCTGACTGATCCTACTGGGTCTATTTCTGAGAATGTAAACACCCACTTAGGAACTCTACTATGGCACGAAATGTTCTCCATCATCAGAACTGTGTCTGCCTTCTCTTTCTCTCCTAAACCTCCAAGACTTCTGGAAAATTATGATTACTTTCAATTCCCTCAAAACACTTGCCCAGCACATAACAGCCATCCAAAAAATGCTTGTGTGATGAATACCATTCTTCTGATCACTATACTCATTGGTTATTTACATGTACACTTAGGGTAAATGTCTACCTGTAAGGAAATCTTTGAGAAGTCTTGAAAGCAAGCTTTTAAATCAAACCATACTCCAACTACTCAGCCATAAAGAATGAGAAACTAGAGTCATTTATAGCTAAATGGATGCACCTTGAGGTGATAAATAGGACACACATGTGTAAATACCGAACAGTTTTCTCTAGTGTGAGAAACTTACAGTGTAAATGAGGACTAAAAGGTAAAATAGATAATGTGAAATAAGAAGAAAAGGGGCGAAGGGGAAGGGGAAGTGGGAAGGGTAGGGGAAGGGAAAGAAGGGAATGGAATTAGTATGAGAAAATAAAAAATGGAAACAAAGTCTTTGTAAATAGGGAGGGGTGGAGGGGTTGAAGGGAGGTCAGGGGAATGGGGAAAAAATAAGAACCAAGAGAAACCATGTAAAGGTACAAATTTCCAATGGTGAACGTCATTATATTGTGTATCTAAAATGTACCAATACAATAAAATTATTTCTAATTTAAAAAATAAACCATACTCCAATTACTCATATTAACAGGGACAAAATGCTTTTAAAATATAAAGAATTTACCATTTTCTTCATCTTCACTAACATAATCTGGTCTATTCTTGTAGCAGAAAAAGGTGGGAGGAAGCTGAAGCCTGGCTGCCAGGGCTCTTTGCTCAGGAGTAGGGGTCAGTTCATATACAATGACAACTTCGTCATCTGAGGCAGCAGGTTCAGTGGTTTTCTCCTCTGCTGTAACACAAGTCAAAAACAGAAACTGATAAGGATTAAGTGTTAAGCAACCATCAATATTCTGACTAAAAATGAAAGACCATGGCACTTGTTGACAGGTTATGAAAGCATGATGACAAAAACACACACACTCTGGTGCAGCCCACAAGCTCTGATTGTCATGAATCAGAATTAGCAGCCTGACTTACTGTTCTATCCACAAAACTCTTAGAGAACACAGAATCTATTTAAAACCCAAAAAATCCTTTCACTTACTAGTTGTTGAAAACAATCACTAGTTTACATAATTTAACATTTGGCATTCAAACAATTCAGCAAAATACCCATGCACTTAAAACTGAAAAAAATTCTTAAAGAAATTATAAGTAAATGTTAGTATACATATGAAACTAACCCAGGGCCAAACCTGATTAGTTCCTAAGTTAATGGATGCCAAGGATGGCAAGTAATCAGAGTTGCATTCAGTTTTGCATATTTCCAAACATGTTACTAGATAAAATTAAATAAAAATTATCATCCTATGACTAAGGAATCTAAGAAAATTTCTATAGCTGAAAACAACCCTCTCCACTCTCCAATGGAAGGGCAAAAAATTAAGGGGGAGAAAATGAATAGTATATGCAATCTGTTGTGGTCTGTAAAGAATTTTTGGCCAAAGGAAGTGATAAAGCAAGCTCATCCTAAAGCATTCCATATACCCACTGGTGCCAGAGAAATATTCTGGAGTATAAACATACATACTGGATGTGTTCACTTTCCTACAAGCATAAGAGAGTCTAAGAGCTACCTTAGCTTATAACAGTTGGCATGTTTTAGGAATGAAGGCCCCAGAAACCTAGGACTGGCACTCTGTCACTGCACTTGTCTGGCATGCTCAGGGTTAGTACTGGACAGTAACAGTGAGTAGTCATTTCCCAACTTTGCTCTTGAAGGTCTCCCACAGATCACACCATCCTGCTGTTCCAGTGCAGCAAAAAATTTACTTCTACCAATGATCTGTGCTACATATGTAATATACAACAAAACGGTGACTGTTCAAATGAGATCTACTTTCAAATACAGTATTATCCTACACCATATACAAACAAAAGTAAATTCCGAAAGGGACATATATTGAATACATGCTGCTGCCACTGCACTTGAATGCTGGCAGGCATCAGTGGCTAAAGACAAAGCTTGGACAAAACACAGGTCTTCATTAAGCAGCATTGACAATAGAGCAATGAAGTACAATAATGCAGCAAAAAAAGAATGCAATGAAAAAGCATAGCCAGCATCCTGTTAAATTTAAAAAAACAGCATTAAAGGGTGAGACACCACCAGTCAGAAGGTACTTTGCTTAAAATTGCATTCTCTACCATGCACACTGTAGTATATTAAGCACTAAATTTCATACAGCCCTGGTTACTCTGCTAGAGAAAACCAGCTGCTTCAGTGCACACAGAGAACGCTCACTCTGTACCTGCGCTCTCTGGCTGGGAGGAAGGGGAGCTGGTCCAAAAAGCCATTGGATTAGATTTAAAAAGGCTAAAATTAAATCCTACAAAATAAAAGAGTATTTTTGAACATCTTGGGAAACAATATGAGTATGATTTTAAAATATAAAAAGCTAGAATCCCTCAATTAATACCAATATAGTTTCTTACGTGTTCATGTATATAGTGCTTTCATTATTTGCTGCTCATTTAATAAATAGGCAAGACTAACCCATGCAATGAACAAATGTCTCAATACTATACACTGTAAATAATAAGAAAATATATTAGTAACTGTGAAGGATGAACACTTTCTTGAAAGGCTCAAGCTGGCTGTGGTGACACAGGCCTGCAATCCCTGCTAGTTGGGAGGCAAAGGCAGGAGGATCATTAAGTTTGAACCCACCTAGGGAATTTAGCAAGACCCTGCCTCAAAATAAAAACAAAAAGGACTGGGGATGTAGTTCAGTGCTTTCTGGGTTCAATCCCCATTACCATCCCCTCAAAAAATTCACACTAATGCTCATGATTTATATCCATCTTTATACTATACTGGATTCTTTTTGCTTGCTCACCCATGACTTAAATATCTTCTAGTTACTGAAATCTCTTAACTTACCCACAATCTGTTACTGTTTGAATATTCACAGGTAAAATTATTTAGAGAGAAAAGGGTCTGTTCAAGTATTTTTTGGGTGTTCACAAAGCAGGATTTATAATCCAACTTTGACTAAAACATTAGTATCTTAAAGAGTCTGCATCAAGATGAACATTAAAACAAAGAGGTTGTACTTAACTCTAAAGACAAAGCACTTACCCTTCACTGGTGTTGTGAACGCACAACCAGCTGGAGATGCTTCCTTTGGACCGGAGGTGAGGAGACTCCTGGCCCTGGCATCTACAGACCCTCTGTGGCCAGCGTTCTGCGACAGCTCACATGCCCCAGGCTCCACTTGCCCTTCAGGTCCAGTCTGCACCTCTCCCCTGGTCTCCCTGTTGTTATTTTTCAAAGATGAGTTAAAACTAAATCCAAACAAAGACCCAGTGGTTGAACTGTTGCCAAATGTGAATGGTTTTGATTTTTCACTACTAAAAATGCTCTTAACAGACTCTGAACCAAATACAAACTTAGGGGGCGAAACCACTGCTTTCGTTGTGGTTTCGGATGCGCCAGGTGCCTCTCCGCCCTCAGAAGCTGCATCTGCCACATCATCACCCGGAATCACATCTGTCCTCTCTCTTGTGGTTTCCTCTAACACAACTACGGCGACTTTGCCACAGGGTGACTCTCTAGGCGTGCTTGAACGAGAAACATGAGGTGTTATCAAACAATCTTTTTCTTGGGCTGTTTTGGCTTCATCAAAAATTTTCTTAAACAAATCTGCAACATCTTGTAGTTTAAAACGGACAGCTAAATGTTCTATTTTTCTTTCTCCATCTGCAAAATCACATGCAGTCCACACCCACACTCTTTCTGTCCCTTTCATGGTTTGCAGAGTCATGTCAGGAGTTATCCTGTGATTGGCACAGAGTTTCAACACCTGGTCTCTTCTCATCACTATCCGAACCTGCTTATTATCATAATTCTGTAAGATCTTGATGTCGCCAATGCCCCTCTCTTTCCACTGGCCAACATCTTTATCATATCTATAGAGTTTTGCTCTGTGACTAAAAACAACTTGTTCATTCTCCTCCCCGCTGGACACTTCGACTAGATCAGGTAAGGGTACAACAGGCTCAAAGTACTGCCCATCTCTCTCCTCTTCTTGAGCCACATCTGATTCTTCGTCAGTAACCACTGAAGCCCCACTCTGGTTCAACTTGGCAGGAGATTTAGACGGGCTCAGTGCAGATTTGAAACTGAAGTTGAACCCGGTGGTGGACTCCCCAAAGCGGAAGAGGTTTTTCCTCACTGGGCTGCTGGCCAGCGGAGAGGCATGAACAGAGCTGCTGCTGATGCTGTCGTCCAGAGCCTCCTCCCGCAGGTCATAGTTGTCCCACTCCAGCGAAGGCCCCTGGTTCTCAGGGCTGCGCCTGGCCCCCACATCTGCAGCACTGGTGGTACCTACACCGGAGCCACTGCTCTCCTCATCGGCAATCTTTGTTTGGTCGTTTGTCAAAAACGTCTTGAAATCTTTCAGTCCACTCTTCATTTCCTCAGCTTTCTGTATCAACTTGGCAGCTCTGCCAGTATCTACGAGTTTATGGGGAGTCTGAAGAGGAATGTCTAAGAGAAGTCTCTGGCATTCCTCGAACTTCTGCTTGAACTCCTCAGCTAGCTCTGGTGTTTTGAATTTTGCAGCCAGCTGCTCCAGCTTGGCATCACCATCGGAGAAGTCGCTAGCTAGCCACATCCATGCTCTGTCTGAGCCGGACAGGGGCTTGAGGTTCATGGTAGTTGTTATCCAGTGATTGGCACACACTTTTAGAACTTGTTCTCTTCGCATCAGCATCCTCAGTTTGCCATTGACTTCATTCTTGAGAATTTTTAAGTTCCCCAAACCTCTTTCTTTCCATTGACTTATCTCAGCATCAAACCTGAATAATTTTACCCGCTGTGAATACAGAACCTTCTCATCTTCCTCTCCTGTTACCAATTCCACCTTTTCAGGCATCTGCACGACAGGTTCAAAATGGATGTCGTCACTGTCCTCAGTTTTATAGGTGTCATCATCTTTCTCCACATCAGCACACGTGCTGGCCTTCTCAGCCATTTTACTACGTTGTGATGAGAATAATTTTTCTCCAGCACCTGAAAATCCCTTGAAATTAGGGTCTTTCTTTCCAAATTGAAATCCTTCTCCTGAAGTTGATTTTGCAAGATCTGCAAAGGTAAAAGTGCCACTTGTTTGCCCAAAAATTACACCATTCCCATTCTTCTGGCTACTAACGTCCTGAGCCTGGGAACCAGTGTCATTTTCAAGGTGCTTTTCACACTTCTCTTGATTTCCTTGTTCCTGAATGCCAAACTTAAACCCATCTGCAGACACAGGAATGGAGAAACTAAATCCATCTTTTATTGACTTAAACTCTGTATTAGAACCCTGAAATGTAAATGAAGAGGTATTTTCTTGATCCACATGCCCAAATTTAAATCCTTGCTCTGTAATGCCAAATTTAAAAGTTTTTTCTGGAAAGTTATTTTTAAACCCTGTCCCCACCTGACTTCCAGAAGACTCACTGAGCTTTGTTTTTGAGCCCTCTGTGAAAGCTGAAGGAGCTTCTACAATGGGTTTATGAGTAGCTTTACAAGCATCACTAGCCACACATTTTGAGGAAGAATTCTCATTTTCTACCAGGCAAACACTACAATCCCACTGTCCTTCCTTTTTGGTGAACATTCCTTCAAATCCATTCTTTGGAGTTTTGCTTGTCTCTGCAGAGGGAGGTGCTGGAAGGGCAGGGGCAGGCTGATTCTGTTCACTTGGATTCTGACAAGCAATACATTGGGTAGCACTTGCTTCATTTCGTACTAAGCATATGCTGCAATCCCACTGCCCTTCCTTCTTGGTGAACATTCCCTCAAACCCACTCTTCGGAGCCTTGCTTATCTCTGAAGAACCAAACTTAAAAGAGGCAGGATCTGGAACAACACAAGTAGATGGACTTGGTTCAGCTGGATTCTGACAAGCAATGCATTTTGCAACATTTGCTTCATTCCGGACTAAGCATGAACTGCAATCCCACTGGCCTTCCTTCTTAGCAAACATGTCCTCAAATCCACTCTTGGGAGTTTTACTTATCTCTGAAGTACCAAACTTAAAAGAGCCAGATGTTGGCACAGAAGTAGTGGGCACATTGTGTTTTCTTGGGTTCTGACAAGCAACACATTTTGTAGCACTTCCCTCATTTTGTACTGAGCATGCATTACAATCCCACTGTCCTTCCTTTGCAGAAAAAACAGATCTGAAATCACTGTTGACAGACTTAGGAAGATCTCCCTGGCCAAATTTAAAAGACTGCGCAAATGATGGTGCACTTTTGTTAGGAGATTTTGTATTTTGGCAAGCAATACACCTAGATACAGTAGGTTCGTTTCTTACTAAACAAGTACTGCAATCCCAGTGACCTTCTTTCTTTGGAGTCATCAATGTAAATCTATCTTGAACATTTTCTGGACTGGTTTTGGGAGCAGAACCAGTTTCCACTAATGGTGGGCCAAAGAGCTCTTTACTGTTTGGGTTTAGATTTTGGCATGATACACATTTCTTAGCACTTGAAGCATTCTTTAATGAGCAGCTGCTACAATGCCACCAAGAACTTTCTTTCTTTGTAACTTGAAATTCAAAATTTGTATTTCCAGCATCAGACTTACAAACATCCTTGTTACCATGACTTGTGGGTTCTTTTGCGATTCTGATGGTCTGTTCTGGTGCTGCAGCTATATTTGTTCCTGCCGCTTTTAAAATACTCTGGGCCTCTTCAAACTTGCACTTAAAAAGTGCTGCTTCGTCAGGAGTTTTAAACCTAATAGCAAGCTGTTCTGGTTTTGGCAACTCATCTGCATAATCAAGGGCATGCCATACAAAAGATCGGTCTGACCCTGCATTTGGTGTCAGTTTCATATCTGGACTGATGTAATGATTAGCACAGATTTTCAATACTTGCTCTCGTCTCATTAGAAGGCGAATTTTGCCAGATGTTTTATGCCTTAGTATTTTCACATTGCCAATTCCACGTTCCTTCCATTCTTTGCATTCTCCATCAAAACGGAACAATTTTGCACGATTGCAAAAGAATTCTTCTTCATCTTCCTCACCTGTTTTCACTTCAATCTTATCAGGAAGAGGTACCACAGGCTCAAAGTGAGGCCCATCGTCGTCGTCATCCCCATGGGCACTTCCTCCATCTGCTTCATGATTCTTACTTGCCAGCTCTGGAGCAGGTGTTCCAAATACAGATTTCCCAGGCCCGTGGAAAGTAAACATATCATCATTTCTGCGAAAACCGGGATTCTTTTGCTGACTTGGCCCTATGTTTTCTGTAAATGAGATTCCAGACATATTTTTGCTTCCAAAATTGAATGTATTTCGAGGACCAATGGTTTGACCAGGAACTGGTTTTGGTCCACTATAGCCATCTCTTTGTAAAGGTTTATCTGAAGTCAGCAGTCCTAAAAGACTTTCACTATTACTATAAGCTGTAGAAGGGGGCTGTGTTACAACCTGTGGTGAAGAAAATGTGAAATCACCATCATTTGATTTGAAATTTGAATTAAATTTAAAAGGAGTTGGCTGTGTAGTATGAGTGGGTGCTGTCAAAGATGGCCTTATTCCTTCACCCGGCATGGGCTGAACAAAATTAGGTTTTCCAAATTCTATAACTTTAGACTCTGCAGATCTTGAAGTGACTGGAGGTTTTGTAAAGTATCCTGGTTCCGGCAAAGGTGGATTTGTGCTTGTCTGCTGAACATTATAATTAAAATAATCATCACCCCTGGGTGAGAGAATTCCTGTTGCAGGAGACTCAAAACGCAGCGGAGGACCATACATCTCCTGAGAGAACATACAAGCAGATGAGCTTTGCACTGGTGGAGTGTGCATCTGTTGTGAGTAGGCATAAATATGCTGCTGGGGTGGAAGCCTATTCATGCCATAAACTGGACCCTAAAAGAAAAAGTTAAAAAATATTGTAGATTGTCTGCAAAACTACAGAGAACCAGACAGACATCAATTCTCACAAACCTTAAACATGAGTATTATTTGGTAAAAAGAATTATCATCAGGATACATACAAAACCCCCCATTAAGAAAAGGCAACCTTGCTACATACAAAGTTACTTGCGTATGGTTTATGCCTGACAATGAAAATTAACTCATATATATATGGCATCTTAAAAGTCTACATCTACAATAAATATATAATTACCTTCCTCATGCCTATAAAGTTTATTGAATGATGATAAGGAAGACTTATTATCATGAGCATTTATCAATGTGCCAACTGGGCACTGTTCTCAACACATTATCTCACTTGAGTATCCTTAAGAACCCTATGAACTAAGGTATCATTATTATTCTCATTCTACATGTGAGGCATATGAGGAATAAAGAGGTTAAAAAACTTGCCCAAGGGCACATTAAGCAGAAGAGCAAGGGTCTAAATGTGCCCTAACCCTCTGTCCTCAAAGCTTCACATTCCACCACAGGTGTAATATCAGATCTTAATCAAAAGTTATGTAACCGCACCGGCCTGCAAGTACTTCCCACACAGTGGTTCATCAAGGACACTCTAGTCCTGCTTCTGCCAAAACAGAATGATGAAGGACCAAATATCACCACTACTCCCATTTTAAAAATATTCTAAATGTTCACACTTATCATTATCACAGCAAAGGAAGATGACTATAAGTAAAGTATAACTTTTGTTACCAAGAAATTTTAAAATGTCTGTATTTTAAGGGATATATAGGTTTTAATACTGAACTACTATCCTGAATTTCTTTAAAGAAAGCCTAAATAATTAAAAAGGAAACAGTTGCAAATTATAAATTATTCCTTTGTTACCTTTGTGGGAGTAACATTAGCTGCTGGTCTGAGAAGATACTGGGAATTATATGCTGGTGACTGACTATAATATACTGAAGGGCCGGTAGTTGCAACTAAAAAAAAAAAGCGGGGGGGGAGCACTGTTAAAATCTATACCACAGTAAAAAGACTATCTAGGCAAGAACTGTAATACAAAGGTAAAAGAAATCAATGAAAGATTTAACTACTTAGATTTTCAATTTTCTATATATCAAAAAATGCCATAAGGGAGATTATCAAGCGACAGACTATGAAAACTGCTAAATATGACAGAATAAGAAAGCAGCACTGCCATAGTTAAGAAGAGTGCTTAACAAGCACCCAAAAAGGAGCTGAGCAGAAAGCAGGGGGTCCATTTTCTAAGATCAGTGGGATGTAAAAGCATAGTCATGCTCAACATTAGAAATACTGAAAACAGGGCCGGGGATTTAGCTCAGTGGTTCCGCCGCCTGCCTCGCAAGCATAAGGACCCGAGTTCCATCCCCATTACCAAAAAAAAAAGAAATATTGAAAACACCAAGTTTCAAAGGAGAACTCAGGGATCAAAACCACATCTGATGATCTCAGGGCCTTTGTACTGAGATGAGTAAGCCTCAAAAATCTGTAGAGTGACAAGGTTACATTTTGGAAACCCATGTCGAGAATGTTCAGTCAAAACTCACCAGACAAACTCATGAAAAAGATCTCACAAGCAACATAAAATGTGTTCCTTAAAAACAACAAAGTTGGGCATGGTGGTGAATGCCTATAATCCCCACCACTAAGGATGCAAGGCAGGAGGACCACTGTGAATTCAAGGACATCCTGGGCTACACAGTGAGTTCAAGGCCAGTCTGAACTACATAGTGAGACCCTGTCTCAAAAAACAAAAAGAACAAAAAAAATCCTGACCCATGTAAAAGCACTTATGCTGATGCAAACTATCTGGCTCCATCTGTTCTGAGTTTTACCAGAAACCAAACAGAAAGGTACCCCACATTAATGGCAAACCTACACTCATGGGCTTGATCTGTCTTAGCACAGTTTTCCAGAAAACAAAACAAAGACCTTTTGTGCCTGTATATGAAAGAACTGGAATTTTTGACCCAACAAGGGCCAAGTAACTGATTTTTTAAAAAGCACTGAAAATGCCCTAGAAAAATCTAGGCAGAAACTCACATCTGAATGTGGAAACAGAATGAACTTCCTGAAGACGGCTGTTTTGGAACCACTCTAAAGAGGAAGCAGGCAAGGAATACAGAACAAGCTGACAGACATGAGCAAAAAAATCTTAAGATTACGGGTTAACTAGGACTTTGTCAGTGACTAGCAACTCAGTGAGAAAAAAATTAGAGGGGTCATTTAAACCCACTAAAAATAATCTATTAAAAACAACCGCAATTTAGGAAAAACAAACAATTCAGGAAAAAATAAGTGACTATAAATTGGTGAACATGCTGTATATTTTTTAAAAAAACAAAAACTGATACCATTTTTGTACAAATCGACAAAGGTTTTTGGATACTGGTGACAGTCAACAGTCAAGAGTCCAAAGGTGGCACAACCAAGATACTTGTGGTTAAAAGAACCAATAATCATAGCAATGTGTCAAGAGTATGATGTTCAATACCCACCAGAAACTAGAAACATAGATGAGGCAATAGAATTGGCAGTACTTCCACATGAAGGGATACCACATACTTCATTCATTGAATTTTCAAAGACTATTTAAAAACTCCTCAGAACTTAAGGTAACATTTTAAAAGTAGCCTAATTCATCTCTATAGAACATAATAATAATCTCACACACACACAAAAAAAACTTTATGTACTCAATAAAAGAGAAACAGCAAAAAACACTGCAATGTGTTAATGCAACTCTACATGATGGGAAGGCAATTCAATTAGTTTTTAGTTTTCTTTACATTGTTTGTTATTTCAGTTTCCTATCTTGGCATATTCTTTACTTTTATTAAGGGGAAAAGTCTATGAACACTGGAACAGGTATCGGGAGACCTGGGCTCCTCTTTCTCTACTCTGTGGCCTGCAGTGAGCCATCTGGAAGTCTATAAAATGAGGATGTGCTGTTTCTTCATATTTCATCAGGTCACTGCACGAATAAAATGAGATAATGTGGATGTTGTGTTTATTACACCACAAGATCTTTCACATCTATATGGAGAAGTGGAAACTGAGACCCACAAGGTGGGAAATGGCTGGCTGCTAGGAGCCCTGAAGAAGCCTGACAGGTCAGCCAATCTCCATCCTCGCTCACACTACTCTAGTCGAGGCTGGGGCTGTAAGTGAGCACAGTCTTGGCTCTAACCATCTCCTACACTCATCCACAACAACAGGTAGTAAGTGACATCACCAAGATTCTCACCGTCTGCCTGCACTGAGAAGACCCTGTCATAAGAGGACAGTGGGACTACCTTAACCACAGTCCCATATACCATATCACAGAAATGTGCTACTTTAATATAGCCTCATTCTAAATCTGTCTTGGGGTAAAAGCAGTCAGAGGAAAATGCACTACCACAGACCGAGCACCCCTTCTCAGTGTTTCAGATTTTAAAATATTTGCATATATCTAATGAAATGTCTTGGAGGAGTTCCCAGTAAACATCAAATTCATACATTTTTAGTGCACACCTTAAACACACAGACTAAAAAGAAATTCTACACAGTATTTGTAACATACATAGGTTTTGACTGCAATCTGCCACATGAGGTCAGGCGTAGGATTTTCCACTTACGGCATCACATCAGATTTCAGATTTTCAGAATCCATAACCTGTACCATTTCAGGAGTCCATTTCATGGTTTTTTTTTAAAAAAAAATCTTATTTTTAACACCTCTACCTATGGGTAGCAATGCATCATCCTGGCAAGTGGCTTTTATGACTAGCAATGTTTGAATCCCAGCTCTATCTAAAACTAGCTGGACAATAATCACCTTTCTAAATCCATTTCCTCATCTATATAATAGGATTAATAATGCTATGACCACCCAGAGTTACTGTAATCAACTAAAATTACATACATAAAGCACTTTTGCACATAGCCAAGCCACAGGAAGTACTTTTAGTAGTCTTGGCTCATGTGCTGTCTACCACATACACTGTAGTAAATGTCAGCCTCCTTACCTAGCACCTACTTACACATACATGGAGGCTCACGGCACTCCCGTGAGACAAGAACTAGGGCCACATTCAGAGAGGTTAACTTACACAGCTGGTAAGTGACAAAACACAACTGAGAAACGCAATATGGTCTAACTCCAAGCCCCCTTTCCTTCTGTATACAGTCATTATTTCAAAATAAATGAGATTTCCTATTAATGACCTGCCTACAAACACACACACATAAACACACACACACACACACACGTGTATGTGTATAAAATCAAAATACTTATCCAGAAGTTTAAGCTCTTAATTGGGAATCTCTTGGTGCATAGTGTAATATCATATTAATGTTTTGCAACTTCAGGAATAATCCCACCTCAGTCTCAGCTTATCTAAGATGTTCATTAGAAGGTTCCTTCAGTCTTAATATACATGGAATCAGATAAAACTTGTTTCCTTAATGCTTGAAGTCTTAAAATTCTCAGTTGTAACAAATAAAGCTTTTTAAGTAACATAAGGAAACATACTAACACATACATAAATAAATGTAGACAACCGATCTATTTAAATGAGGGGGAAGGGAATGGGGTATAGCTCAAAAGGTACAGCACTTGCCTAGCGCGCATCAGGCCCTGGGTTTGATTCCCAGTTTACCATTACCACAAAAAAAAGAGGCAGGGACATGCATTTGTGCGTGTGTGCCTATGTAAATACGTTTGATTTTAGTAAAATCTGGGGATCATCCAGTGGCCAACTCACCTGTTAGCGGAGCCCCATGAAAAGTCTGTGACCCTTGATATCCATCAGGCACTGGGTCTGGCCCATAATTCTCTGTGGGCCAGCGATGTGGGGATGCTGAATTACTGCTATTCAGTTTCAGTTCCTGCATTTCTTTCTATTGGAAGAAAAAGACAAACTGTAATTTTTTTTTTTGGTACTAGGGATCGAACTCGGGACCTTGTGCTTGCGAGCCAGGCGGCGGAACCACTGAGCTAAATCCCCGGCCCAAGACACTGTAATTTTAAGCACTGAATTATGCCAAGCCAGAAACAGTGCAAAGGTAATCTTAAAACATTTTTTTCTTTTTTTTGAGACAGAGTCTTATACAATTCAGGCTGGCCTTGAACTCACTATGTAGCCCAGGATGGCCTCTAACTTGTGGCAATCCTCCTGCCTCTACCTCTCGAGTACTGGGATTACAGATGTGCACCACCACACCCAGACAGATTAATGATTTTTTTAAAGAAATTTTATTTTCCAATGAAATGTGGGTATCAAGAACACGAAAGGATCTAGCAGCCCAATTCATAATAGCTTAATCATGGAGGCAGCCTTTATGTCCATCAACAGATGAATGGATAAAAGTACGGTATTTACACACAATGGAGTACTGTTCACCCATAAAGAAGGATAAACTCATGTCATCCATAGGAAAATGAATGCACTTTGAGACCATAATGTTAAGTAAATCATACACACAAGCTTAAATATTACATGGTTTCTCTTACATGAGAAACCCAATGTATATAAAGTGCAAAATAAGAGAAAATAATAGGAAAATAATAATAGGAAAAAAGTTATTATAATCCAGCATGGAGAATGTATTTAAAGTGTACCTTGATTTAGTATATTTGTCTTATGTGTTTTACATGTGTTTTGGCCTGTTAGTCTGGCAGTTAATTTGTGTTTATGATTTAAAAAAAAGAGCATGACCCTCTCAGCACTCAGAAAGCTGAGGCAGGAGGACTGCCATGAGTTCAAGGCCAGCCTGGGCTATACAGTGCGTTCAAGATCAGCCTGAACTACATAGCAACCAAAAGAACACAATCCTTAATGTGTTAATTTGCTCACTCTAAACAACTACAAAACTTCCTTATGACCTCATTTCCATTCCATACTTGCCAACATTAATCTTTCTGAAGTTCAGCTGCTCAAAATCCAAGACCTATAAATTAAACCTCTCATGACATTCATGGTCCTCAAGTCCAGAGTCTGCTCTCCACACTACTGTATTCTTCATGCCACCTGGACTACTTGAAATTCAAAACCATCTCTTAATTCTTACTCTGACTTGCTGGAACAAACTACTACTAATTCTCAAGGTCATAGCAAATGCTTCACCAGCAAAGGAAAAAACAACTAACATTTGCTCAGAGTTTATTATGTACAATGTGTGATCAAAAATATGGTGAATATTTAAATTACTGCAGTAAAAAACACAGTACTACCCTACCACACTTCAAATGTACCTCCCCATCATTCCTGACACATTGTGAAGTAGTTCTGGAAGTTCTCCTCCATCAGTGTCTAATGTCACTACACTGCCAGCTATCTGTTCTCTACTGCTTTATAGACAACTGCATGGAAACACCCTACCCAGCCCCAGAACCTACAAAATGTCCCCTTACAAAATGGGCACAAATCAAGTGGTTGCTTCTTTTTCCAAAAACACAAAAAAATAAAAACAAAAAACTGTAGTGCTATGAGAACACTGGTCAGTTTTGATAAGTCCCAAACTTCTCTGTATCAACCCAACCATCCAACCAGTTACAATAAGGTCAGACATAGATCCAAATGTCTGCTTTCTCCTAGACATGTTTCAAACAGAAATTTCCTGAAAACCATAATTCTGTCAATATTCAAACTTCATAGCTCACCCCTCATCCCACAACTGAGCCAGATGTCCAAGACCAAGAAGCCAAGGGACCTCACTGGGAAACTCCACAGTCACTGCTGACATCTATCCACAGTTCTGATCCTGCAATCCCAGATCCAATCATGCTTTTTAAATTCAAAGAACCAGAAAGTGTGATGGGAAATGGATTCAGCAATCCTCACTTTGCAAAGGAGACGTCAGATGAGAGATAGAGACAGAGACAGAGACGGGAGCGGGAGACAGACAGAGACCGAGATAAAGAAGCAGATCCATGGGGCTAGGGATTTAGCTCAGTGGTTCCGCCGCCTGCCTTGTAAGCGGAAGGATCCAAGTTCGATCCCCAGTACCAAAAAAAAAATCAGCAGATCCAAGATCGGTTATCCATGACAGAATCCATACCAGCACCCAGTTTCTCAGACCCACGGACTCAGATCCACTACACTTCCACAGAACCCAGTGCTGGGTGCCTGAGTCCCATATGCGCAGTCAAGACTGCATAGGACATCACAGGCCATACTGCACAAAACTAAATTATAAAATGTCAGGGCCGGGGATGTAGCTCAGTGGTTTTGTTGCCTGCTGTGCAAGCACAAGGACCTGAGTTCGATACTGGGTACCAAAAGAAAAAAAAAAAAACAAAGGCCAACTTCTGTGATTAGGCACATTTTGTGTTCTCCAGGGGCCACACGGGTTATACTGCAACCTAAAATGAGAGAATAACCTGAATTGGAACGCAGAGATAAAAAAAAAAAAAAAAAAAAAAACAATTATAAAATGTCTGTACAAATTCAAAAAATTTTTCTCATCCTAACAGTTGTTTCACAGTCACACACTAAGTGCAATGTTCTCATCACCACATATCAACATTTCCTTGATGTCACTTCTGAAATTTGAGTTATCTAATGAGCATGAAAAAAGCTACTTGTACTGTACTTCTAATTTCAAAAAGTAAAGCCCCTGAGTGCTATGATATAATTAAGTCAAAATCATAGGAAAGTACTGAAAATAATTTAGCTTTCTTTTTTGGGTACCAGGGATTGAACTCAGGACCTTCTGCTTGGGAGGCAGGCGGCAGAACCACTGAGCTAAATCCCCTAATTTAGCTTTCTTAAAGCTTAGAACACTTTCCAATATTCCTACCTATAAATCTGACCCACCTCTTCAACAGGCAATGTGAGAAATATACTCATAGAGTAAAGTTATTATCTTGGTAGTTCAATCACCTGGGAACTGCCTGTACCAGTAATCATTTTTCTGAATAAAAGTCTCTATTTTTAAATGGCTCACAATTTGTGGAAGAGGTAGACACATAAGAAATTTCAAAGATGTGGTAAGGGTCAAGAAAGAGGTGTGTAAAACATGGTATGACTCTATAATACTGCATACAGCAAGGGGACATTTTGATCAACTTCAGAAAGTGCACAAGTGCTGTGGGAAGGAATCTTGAACAAGAGGTACATTTAGAGAAATTAAGTGGTTTACCTTAATGGCCTCTACTTGTTGGCAGATCATTTTCAGCAAAGAATTTTGATCTTCTGCCCATCGAGGTGGTGTTTTGGGAGAATACTAAAAATAATTATAATAACAATCACAATACATAACCACAAAATAGTATTTAAAACATTTAACAAAGAAATATATTCCACAATGGAATGCTTCATTTCTATCCTACTTACCATGTAACTCTTGCTTGGTGAAAGAGAATATTTGGTGGGAGATGGTGGAGAATGTTTGCTCTCTGGATCTGCATTTCGAAAACTCCCATTCTTATGGAGTGGACCTCCCTCAGCGCAGTCCTCTAGTTCCTGCATAACAGAGCTCAACATATCCTTCACTGACTCCACAGACACTGGCAGCTAAAGCAAAAGGCATTAACCACAGGGTTTAGCTTGCAAAAATACCAGAATAAAACTCTAAAACAAATATAAAGATTTGATTTTAATCTGAATTTTTCTCATTTCCTAATAAGCACTTTATACTTTAATAATGTATGTTGAGGTATCATATAATCTAAAGTTGCAACCAGAATTAAGAATTAAATAATTCACCAGAACTGTGGACCGAATTCTCCAACTGGAATCAAGGAAAGGATTAAGTTTTGTGAACCAAGGTACCACTGACAACAGAGGGATGTGGAGTTGGAAAGTTTTCCCGTATGAATACGTTACTGATTTTTCTATCTGATGCTGAATGGAGAGAGAAATACAGATGCTGGCATGTGTTAATCTCAATGTAACGGTAGCAACATCAATCAATCGATAAAATATTCAGCAGTAAGGAAGACTCTAACTGAAAGACATACTGACATCTCAAACTAAGTACAGCTGGGAAATAAGACGATCCACAGCAGGTGATGAGGATAAGGAGAAATGCTCTCAAGCTACCAGCAACCTTCCTTTTCAGCAAAGGTCATTAAGAAGGAGTCCTGAAGCTATATTTGTTTTGATCACATTGTCAAGACAACAAAATTTTAAAATGTATATATTAGAAACGTTTTGGTTTTTGGTGGTGCTGAAGATAAAAGCCAGGCCCTGTGTATACTAAGTAAGCACTCTACTGCTGAGCTACGTTCACAGACCAGAAACCTTTTCTAATACTCCAAATATTTTTGTTATTAATACACACCTAGATTACCAAGCTTTAAAAAAGATTGCACCAGCTGGATACGGCTGCGCTCTCCTGTAATACCAGCACTTGAGAGGCTGAAGCAGGAAAATTGCCACAAGTGTGAGGCCAGCCTGGGCTATACAGTGAGTCCAAGGCCAGTCTGAACTACCACAGTGAGAGCCTGTCTCCAAAACCAAAACCAAAAAGAAAAAGACAGCAAAACTAAGATTAAACAAAAAGACTAAGGGTATTGACACACACACACACTGCCTTCTCTACATAAATAACAACATACTATCAATCCTGGAATTACAAAAACACAACACCAAGGCAAAAAATTCATCACCAGTATGAACAGTCCTAAATGACAGACAACCACCTGCACTTACTTTCTGGATCACTGATGGATTTGAATCACTGTCATCTAAAATCTTTATTAGATAGTCCCTGCTCTTTCTCAGGTAATTTTTGCATTCTTCTTGTTCTTCAGGAGAGAGGACATCATTTTCAATGTCTTCTGCTTTCCTGTGGAAAATCTACACGAAGAGTGCTTTTATGAAACAATTCAGTTTTTAAAACAAAAATCTCTTAATCCAAGCACCACACCTACTTACCAGTGCAAGATTCCAATAAGAAACAACACTTTTAATAGATTCAAAAACAGTCAGAGCATCTTCTATATTTCCATTAACTGCCTCAAATATAGCAAAGCTGATGTGTGCCTCTTCCTCATATTCAGGAGTCTCAGAGACCTAAACACATCAAGCAGTTTTTAGTCAAACCACTTCTACTCAGAATGTCAAACCCCGAAGATTTTCCAAATTCTATAATCTAACAAGATTCACTTCTCATTACTCTTTGCTGTAATATTTGTTGTCAGCTAATGCATTTAGAAACAACACTGACCATAAAGAGCAAGACAATTTAGGAAATTAATATTTTTATTGCTTTGTTTATAAATTAACTCAGAAGGGGATTCTGTTACCTGAATGTCCACACTATGAAAATGCAAAAACAGAGGGTCAATAGGTTCAGGAATACTGTTCTTCTTTTTGATTATCTTCAACAATGGTAAAACTTTCTTCCAATAATGAACACTTCTGCCTATGTAGTCCCGTTGATCATAAAAAGAATTAAGACTGCTGCCCTAAAATAGAAAGTTAGAAGATACAACCTTAAGAAACACACATGATCACATCTAAAAATTCATTTACAAATGATAAAAACAACTAGTTATATTTTCTTTTCAAAACCAAACGCACTCTCAAGTCATGTGACTTTCCAAATCCTGGAATAACAAATTGCCTCAATACAAGAGTAAGCTTTTAAATACTTTTAATACAGCAGTGCCTCGGCTCACAAACTCAATTCTCCCCATGATTCTGGTCGAAAACTGAACTAGATGAGAACCGAATCAAATTTCCCTATAAAGTCAACCCTGAACCTAACCTCTGAATTTGAGTTGGTTCTCATCCAACTTGGTGTAACGGTCTGTGTTTAGATGTCTCCCAAAGCCTTATGCAGATGAGGTGGAACTTTTTCAGAGGCTGCTGAATCTGGAATGTGTGATGCTGGGGTTAAGGACATTTGATTACTAAACCAACTACACATGAGTGATTAGTTTGGCACCACCCTAATCCTGGTAGTCTGAGTAACATAAAAGGGGAAGAAAGATGCTGTTAAACCCTCTTGTTACTTTGCTACTTTGTGTGCACCACATTGTTTCCCTTCTGCCAGGCCTGTTTGCCATCCCTGTCTTGGAGCCAGCGGACTGCAGACTGAAACCTTTATGAACCATGAGCTAAATAAACCCTTTGCCCTTTAACTTTGGGTATTGGGTATTTTGTATCAGTAATGAGAGAAAAGTAATTAACACACTCGGTTTGTGACCGGAATCATGGAAAGAATCAAGTTCATAAATGAAGGTACCACTGTCCTGCCTTTATCAGGCAGTCTGTGCTATTTCTAACAGTTCCCATTTTCAGATGTTCAAAGCCTCCCCCTATATAAGTGTCCCAGCTTGAGCAAAGATCTAACCATCTACATCTAATTCTGACACAGAAAAGTTATCAAGTATTTAGGGAAACCTATAATGTCCTTACCTAAAAAGCCTTCTGTCAACCAACATACTAAAACATTTTCAGGCTGGACAATAATTATTTAATTATTAACAACAGTAACAGCTCCTACCTATACATTATGTACTGGACATCATTCTTCTAAAGTGCTTATAGTTAACTTCATTAACTCTGGTAAAATTTAAAAACACATTTCACCAGTTAATGTGAAAAGCTGCTACTGTTTTAGTTCAAGGTTTTTAAAAATTAAGGCACTGTTCTTTTAAGAAGCATACACTCAATGAACTCACCGTTTTCAGGAGGTATTTTGCCCAGTGCACAAGCAGAGCAGGCTGAAGGCCATGTTTCTCCTGACCTCTTAGGGTGATCAGTTCATGCTGAACTAAAAGTCGCAATTTTGCTGCAGTTCCAGGTCTAAAAAAAGTTGCATTCAATACAATTTCTTTAAAGACATACAATTCCATAATCACACTACTGGTAACTGTCACATGACAAGGTAAATCTTGTCCCCCCCATTACTAGGGACTGAACCCAGGCCCTTCACACCGAGCTACATCCTCAGCCCTTTTCATTTTTATTTTTTACAGGGTCTTGCTTAACTGCTCAGCCTAGGTTCAACTTTGCAATCCTCCTGCCTCAGCCTCCCAAGCCATTAAGACTGCAGGTGTTTGCTGCCGCATCCAGTGCCAAGTTACACCCTCACGTGAGAAATGAAGCTCTGGTAGCCCTAGAGAGTAAGTTGGGGTGTCTCTGTTCACTACTCACCCTGCCTTTCTGTGAATGAGAGCAGAAACTGCATCCCACCATGACTTCTGCTTCTCTGCACAGAGCTGCTTGCACACGGGAAGTGGCAGGCACAGTGGATAGTAGTGGCTGCGGTGGGAATAATGCTTCTCCTTTAACTGTAAATGGCTGGTATATATGACTCCAAGCAGAAACACCTGTTTTATTTAAAGAACATTTTATTTGTTAGAAAAAAATTAAACCAAACTCAGTAATTAGCTTGTTAGAATCCTCACTTACCTCAAGATCTAAAACACATATTGATTCAGGTGCATTTGTTTCAAGCTTTGATGTCTCCTGAGGCAAATGATGAAAAAGCTGCTTTAGCCATTTTCGAAATGCAGGTACAGCAGGCAGTGAATTCCATTGTAAGCCCAGCCAGGTCAGGTGCTGGAGGCTTCCATTATGGGCTCGAATAGCACCTGCAAGGAAAAGGCGACTTGGCTTAAGGGTTGGGAATTACTCTGTGTCATCAGTACAGACAGAATATGTAAGCAATGAGCTTACATAAAATTATCAATTATCAACTGCTTCTATACATCAGAATGGGGGAAACTAGGTTAAGTAAACTCTCAAGGTCATACTAAATGTAGTCACCCTTTATAACTAATTTTAAGTTGTGAACAAGAATGTCCTTTTCCAGGCCATCTAAAAAAATGAGACTCACTAAAACTCAGTAAGACAAGTATGCTGACACAGATCAAATAAAGAATGCACACTTAGCCGGGGATTTGGCTCAGTGGTTCCGCCGCCTGCCTCGCAACCGCAAGGTCCTGAGTTCGATCCCCGGTACCAAAAAAAAAAAAAAAAAGAATGCACACTTAAAAAGAAATCTTAGGGCAGGGATTTAGCTCAGTGGTTTCACCGCCTGCTGCACAAGTGTGAGGACCCGAGTTTGATCCCTAGTACCAAAAAAAAAAAAGAACTCTTAATGGGTTTTCCTTTCAGTAATGAGTCATTAGAACAACTGGGCGACCACTGCATTAGTTTATTATGAAGGAGATCTTTCCTTCCATAAGAAATCTAATACTAAAAAGTTAATGGGCTTCTAGAAGCATAAAGAGATATAATCTTTTTGGCAGTTTAGTAATTTTAAAGAAATTTAAAGATGGTCAACTCCTTTGCCTCAGTTTTTAGGAATTCCACTATGGAAATAATTTAAAATGCAGACACTTCTAAGTTTTCATCATCATACAAAAAGTCCCAACTTCCAAATATTGGAGTTGCTAACTTTCACAGGTGTATTATATAAGACTCACTTTGTCAGCTTAGGAATGAATCCAACTTTTGAACAATTCTCCCAGAATGGAACTCGTCTGTTGACTGAGACTTACTACATTACAGATATTCATTTAACAACCTACTATTTAATGACTTCAGATTTACAACTGAGGCACACTGTTCAGATTTACAACACGCCACTCAGACTTATGACCTGTCCTTTTTCTACAGTTCTGTACAGCTTGTTATAAACCCTCAATGTATTTTTTTATACAGTATAGTAATGTAGTTTTATGTTGGTATACATTAGAGTACTGCATGTAAGAGTTATGCAAATAAAAGCAAAGTCATCAAGTTGGAGTTTCCTTTGACAATTTCTTTGTTCTGAATACTGTAACATACATAATGTACACAATTCCTAATTTAGCAGCAACCTGTTCATTTAATGACCTAGTCACAGGACTGTAGCCCAGTCGTTAAATAAGGAGTGTCTTACTTTTTTAATTTTTTTTTTAGAAATACACAAGCTCATTTGTTTATTTTTTGGTACTGGGGATCAAACTCGGGTCTTTGCACTTGTGAGGCAGGCGGCAGAATCAATGACCTAAATCCCCGGCCCTACAAGCCCATTTTTATATGTTCTAAGGTATAGCCTCAACAAAAATAAACATATACTATTTGATGCAAATTCCATGGATTCGGGGCCAGGGATTTAGCTCAGTGGTTCTGCCACCTGCCTCAGAGGCGCAAGGTCCTGAGTTCGATCCCCAGTACCAAAAAAAAAAAAAAAAAAAATCAATGGATTGTTCTCTGAAAGTATAAGTAATAGAAACAAGTCTCTGGTCATTTCTGAAGTAATGCACCATATTAGCAATGTAAAGAAAAGCAGAAACAAACTACAAAAATGGAGTAAAAAGGACAAACGAATGATTAAAATCCAAGGGATTCCATGAATACATGTATAAAGTAAAAAATCTGGTCATTTGATTCAACAAATAAACGTTTCCTTATACAATATTGAGTACAATAAATATGGCAATAAAACATATTTGATTGCGTACATAAACTTAAAAATTCAACAAGAATGACACTAAAAAGAAATAACATTCACCAATTCATTTTTTTTTCTTTTTTTTGGTACCGGGGATTGAACTCAGGTCTTTGCACTTGCGTAGCAGGCGGTGAAAATACAGAGCTAAATCCCTGGCCCACTAATTCATTTTAAATTGATGCAAACATATTAAAGTCAAATATATTCAAAATAGTCTTATAGAGTATCAACACACTATGAAAAATTAAGGTTCTCCTGACAATACGTACAGTGGACCTTTGACTTACAAACTTTAGTATGCTAAATATGGTAAATGAAACTATGTTTGAACTTTCAAAAAATCCTAAAATATACAGGAATAAATATGACAAGAAAAATGTTGCATAAATATATGCACATATGTAATAAATACTAAACAAATATAGATATATGGACAAATGTCTCACATTAGAAAAGAATTAAACAAGATCAACTGAAATATTTAATCAATCACTGATATTAAAACACACTTTAGAGGGGGCAGGGATTTAGCTCAGTGGTTCTGCCACCTGCCTTGCAAGCACAAGGACCCGAGTTCGATCCCCAGTGCCCAAAAAAACCCCCAAAAACAAAAACTCACTTTAGAATACCAATCATCCCTTCATTTAAGACAACAATTCAATTCAGTGACATTTCAAGTTGAAGGGTAGTATCACATGTGATCAGCAAATTCGAGGATTTTAAAGACAAGAAGACAGGACTTTCTGCAAAAATAGCTTCAGGAATATTAACAGGAAAGCATTAGCCAAGAAATAGGAGGGCATTTTTCAAAATAAACTCTAATCAGCATATTTAAGGCACAGTCATTCTTGAAAAAGCAAAATTTAATGACTGAGAGAATTCTGAAATATGGTGATCTACAGACAAAAGTTACTATATTAACAATGAATACAAATGAGAAGGTCAAGTGGTGCGTAAGATCAAAGTGAGAAACCAAAGCACAAACGTAAGGACTTATTACTGATTTATGAAACAAAAAAAATCTTTCAGATGAAGATGCAAAGTAAAAAGGTAACAGTTACAAGAGTTAGTGACTTTTATAAGACTTTTACAGAAAGAAGTATGCCCACTGTTAATTGAAGCAAGTTTCATGGTATAATGTAATAAGAAACTGAAAAAAAAAATGGTACAGATTTGCTCCAGACCCTCTATGAGTTTGGGGAAAAACACATGTTTATAATTAAAAAGGTTTCTTTCTGTCAGAATGTATTTTATCTCTGGACCCATGGAGAGAATTCTTATCTGGTCCTAACAGAATAATGTAGCACTTGGGGCCAAAGATTCAGCCCAGCAGCCCCACACTGGAGGCCAAGATGGAGAAGGCCTCCATGGCCACCATGACTTTCCCTTTGGTGCTGTGGTACACAGGGAGGAAGGTGACCCACACACTGCAGAACACCAGCAAGCTGAAGGTCAGGAACTTGGCTTCATTGAAGTTGTCTGGTAGGTTCCTGGCCAAGAAAGCCACATTGAAGCTCACCAGGGCCAGGGAGCCCAGGTATTCCAGGACACAGTAGAAGGCAGTAAGTGAGCCCTTGTTGCATACAATGATGATGTGGCCACGTTCAGAGTGTGCATCTGTGTCAGTAACAGTGGATTTGTTCCCATCCAGACTCCACAGAGAGTTGGATCACTGAACAGATGGGAATGATGAAGTAGGTGCACCTGACACCAGCAACTGCCTCATCCTTCTGCCTGAAGCAGTGATCTTAGAGGCCAGCACCACAGTGATAGTTTTGGCCAACACAGTAGAAACAGCCACAGCGAACACAACTCCAAATGTGGTCTGCTGAAGGATACAGGTAGCTGTGTTGGGCCAGCCAATGAAGAGTAAGGTGCAGAGGAAACAGTAGATGAGGGAGATGAGCAGGATGTAACTGAGAACCCGGTTGTTGGCCTTGACAATGGGAGTGTCTTGGTGCTTCACAAAGAGCCCAAGAATAGCAGCTGTGAGGACAGTGAGACTCAGGGTGGTACCAACCAACATCTTCCCCATGGGGTCTTCATGAGCCAGGGAAGTCACAGACTTTTGGAGGCAGTGGTTTTGCAGAACTGCGGCATATTGATCATCAGGACATTTCACACACTGCTCCATATCAGTGTCATTGGTGATCTTATTCTCTGGGCAAGGGGTGCAGTCAAAACAACAGGCAGGTTTTCCCTCTTGTGGCGATTTCCTGAATCCAGGATGACAAATCTCACTGCATACAGAGCCTCTGTAATTCCTGTCCATCATGTCATCAGAGAAAGACAATTGGTGGCCAAGAGGAACATGTGAGGTAAATGTTCCCAATTTGACCTTAAGTCTACGGCCTTCTGGAAAATTTCAAACATTGAGAATGTCATACTCTACATCAAGTTTCTTTCTGTCATCCAAAGTCACTTGGTCTCCAGTAGGACTGTCAAATTGGAGGTTCTTCAGAAAAGGGTGGCGAGTTCGTAGAGGTTTCAGTCCATAATCAGCTGACTCCAAGGCAGGGATGACAAAGAGGCATGGTAGAGCAGAAACAACATGGCACACACAAGGCAACAAAGGAAATGAGAGGAGTGTTTTACTTTTAATAGTGAAAAAAATGAAAACAATTTGAGTACCCAACAACAGAGAGTAGCAAGCAAATTATGGCTGATTCATAAAAAAGATAGTGCCATTAGAAGTTATATAGTTTTGTTTTGTTTTTTGTACTGGGGATGGAACTCAGGACCTTGCTCTTGTCAGACAGATGGTGGCACTACTGAGCTAAATCCCCAGTCCTAGAAGTTATATAGTTTTTATATAGATTTTACTGTTTTAATATACTTATAATGAAAGAAGCACGACAATAGCGTGTGTGTGTGTATGTATCACACATTTTAACCACTCCCTAAAAAAAAAACCTGAAAAGAATATAGGAAAATATTAAGCCATTACTCCTGGAGAATGAGACTGTGGGCAATGTATTTTTCTAATATAAAAGGATTAAGATGGAGAGTATTGCAATTGAAAGGCACAACTTACCAATATCATATCTAGCCAACTCATCAGTCCCCGGTGCTCGCACATCAAGATATCCAAAGTCATCACTAACAAGGAAAGAGTTCTCCTTAGGAGACTTAGAAAACAGAGCATCATACAGAGCAGCCTGCCCACATTTATTGGCAAAAGATTCCACAATCTCCTTTATAAGATTCGGCTTGCCACGACTTAAGTTTAGCAACATGTGCCCTAAAAAGAAAGAAATTAAGTTATTTCCATCATTTTATGATAAGAAGATTGTGGTCACTCACATTTGCTTCCTGTATATACCCAAGGGAGAAATAACATGATTATCTCAGACCTCACTCTTCAACTCTGATCCCCAACAGGACAACAAAAATAGTACTTATGTATAAATGAACAGAGTACAGCTTGAACAGCACCTGTGTCCACCTAAAAGAGAAATGTGTATGGAAAACACCAAAAGTATTTTCATTTTAGAAAACTGTAGGCTTTAAGCAGCCATCAGACAATAGCATGGCCAAGCTCTACTGATACACTGACTTTTAAACCTGGGTGACCAGAATGCTCCTTTAAACAGCTTTTACATATTTATTTCCACTCCCACATGTTTCTTAATTCTGTAAGTTTGGGGTGGCAAATCTATTTTAAAAGCACTCCTTGGATAAAGTACTTATACATGCTACAATATGGGTGAAGTCTGAAAACATATTAAGTGAAAGAAGCCAGTCACAAAAGTCCACATAATATATGATTATAGGAATTATCTGGAATTGGCTATTAAAAAGAATAGTAGGCTACTGCCTAAGGCTAAAGAGATTAGGGAAAATTGAGTCTGATTACTAATGGACATGGGGTTGTGATGATAGGTACACAACTTGTGTGAATTATATCTCAAGCTGTTCAAAAACACACACTCTCTTGTTGGTCAGTCAGGTTCGACTACCACCGGACTGTTATTGTCTTGGTAAACTTGAATGTCCAGATCAAAGATCACAAACACAACTGATTTTACTAAATGTGACCCCCTGCCAAGTGTGCTGGCTGTCCAAAGGTCGAAGACATAAAGAGGGGAGGAAAAAAAAAGTCACTCAGAAAACTAAAGTTCTGATTCCCTCCAAGAGTGGACCATGAGACAGAGGAGCATCAGGCGAGACCAAAGCTCACAGCAACTCGGACTTAATACCACTTCCTACTCTTCACGAAGTTCACCAATGTTAAACCAAAACCACTCCCTGTAGGAAACCAGGTGTAAGACCGAAAGCCTGGGTTGAATGCTCCTTAGGGTGTGGGGGAGGGGATACCAAGCCATCTCTTCCTAGGGCTGTTTGCTAGCATTCTAGCATCAACCAGTTTCAAGAACAGAAACAACTACAGCTGAGGTCTGATTAAAAGAAAATACACATTTGGGTACAGTCTACAAATTATAAGAACCTGATAAACTTTCCCTTGAACCTTGGATCACATGCTTGCTTGCTTCTTCTTTGTGCAAATCTAATAAAAGTGAGGCATATTATCAGCTTGGGGCTCTTAGTACACTAAAGGCAAGAGTCCCCTGGCCCTCCTCTTCCAAATTTTCTTTGTGTCTTCTGTCTTTTAGTCCTCATTGGTTCGCAGGTCGGGGATAAACTTGTAGGCTGGTTCCTACAGCTCCCCAGAGAGCTGTCTCTTTAGTTTACTACTTCATTCCCTAGCTATCTGGCCTCTTGAAGTTCCTGCTTTAGCAAAAGCACAGGCAGCATGTGCAGCCCTGCAGGCAATGTCCCAAGCCACCAAGCTGAGAATACAGTCAAAGTTCTCAGTGCCTAAGAGGACATATGCACAGAGGCTTCCAGCTTCCTCACTATGTTCTCAGCTCTTTAAGAGACAGATACATCTCTGCCTTTATATAGCCTAGAGCAGTGTTTTAAAAGCCGCTGACATTAAATGGTTGGCAAATGAGTAATGGCACCCAGTTCAGGAAGTGCTCTGAAATACTTAGGATGTAGCCTCTACTAGCTACATAAAGGAAGAGTTAAGGAGTTACTTCCACCTAAGAGAAAACAGTATCAAGTATTTGTTCCTTTTAAAGACTGTGCCATTTCTTCTCATCCCTTCCATACCTCTTTGTCCTTATCTAATACAGCAAAAAGAAACAATATGACAGATTATCTCCTAGAAAGATTTTAACATTAAGATGTACTCTAATAGAAATTCTCCTTTATTCTCTTTTAAATAAAATCAATTAAAACATTACTAGGCTGGGGATTTGGCTCAGTGGTTCTGCCGCCTGCTCCACAAACATAAGGACCTGAGTTCAATCCCCTGTACCAAAAACAAAACAAAACATTACTATTACCTGATTGGCTCAAACGATCATGGGCCATCATTTCCAGTAGATTTTGTCCAGCTTCTCCTTTTATTAATTTAATCTTTGGTCTTGGAACCTGATAATTTTAGAATCAAAAATCTTAATTCAGTAGTACCCAAATTTTTTCCAAATTTCTAATAGATATTTCTATTACATATTTTTTATAATGAAAAAAGTTAACTAATAATTTGATTGGAAAACACTGCAAACAAATGGGAACCAAGGAACTCATATAATCTATAAAGTATGAATAAAAAGAGCACTTTTTTTCAGTACTGAGACTGAGCCCAGGGCCTTCACACTGAGCTACATTCCTAGCCTTTTCAAAAATGTTTAATTTTGATAGGTCTTACTAAGTTATCCCATCTAGGCTTGAACTTCCAATCCTCCTGCCTCAGCCTCCCAACATTTTGTGGTGGGAGGTTGGGGTGCTAGGGAACCCAGGGCTGCCTGCATGCTAAGCACTCACTCTATCACTGAGCTACATCCTCATCCCCTCTCCTAACTGGTGGAAATATGACTTGGCATAATGCCTGTAAGGGTGGAAATTTGCAAGAGGTCTAAAATTTATAAATGCTCACATATAATTGGACTTTGATCTTCCAATTCTTTCAGGGATTTATCCTTCTTACCCATTTTCACATGTGAAAACAGCATAAGGTTCACCGCTCCATTATTTGAAGCACAAGAGCAAACAGTAAAAGCAACCTAACTAATGCCTTAGTTTTGTTGTTGTTGTTGTTTTTCCGGTACCCAGGATTGAACTCAGGATCGCGGGCTTGCGAAGCAGGCAGGGTGCCACTGAGCTAAATCATCCCCGGCCCTGTTGGTTTACTTTGAGCTAAATCCCTGGCCCATGCCTGGCTAATTTTTACATATAAGTAGAACCTAAAAACTCTGCTTCTGAATTTCAGCAACATTAGTTTGACTTATCCTTTTACCTGTAAGTTTTCTAAACACATCACTTTGTCTTCTATACATGTTGAAAACAGTACACAAAATAAGAAAATATTTCATATACATGAAATAATTATGTTTTCAGACTGACTTCCATTCACATACCTGGCTTCTTTATAGAATTACTCAACACCTAAATTAATCAGCTAACTAGTTATGAATACACTCAGTGTAAGCATCCCCAAGTCCTCTTCATCTTAACTAAAAATAGGGCTCAAGAGATTGTGAAATGCCTGAAGTGTGTTCTACTGCTAGAACCACACAGCATATAGGAGTCTGAAAGTTCTGCCATAAAAGACTTTCACCTGACCTAAATCCATAGCTACCAAAATACCAGCTAACAACCTTCCTTTTATGCTTGGGATATAGTGAGTTCAAGGCCAGCCTGAACTCCATTTAAAAAACAAACAGCCAGGGATTTAGCCCAGTAGCACGGTGCCTGCCTCACAAGCACAAGGTCCGGAGTTCAATCCCCAGTACAAAAACCAAACAAACAAAAATCTTCCATTACTTGGGAATTTTTTTACTTGAGAATTTCTATAAAAAGCAAGAACCTTTTAACACTTATGTAAATTATTGACCCTCGATGACTTTACTAATTTTCACGATTAAATGGATTCCTTGCGAAGTGTGGTGTGGTGGCACAACCTGTTTATTATCCTAGCAATCTGGGAGGCACAAGGATCAAATCTGACCTCAACCTGGAAAGGTAACTCCATGGCTTAGTGAGATCCTGACTTAAGAGCAAAAAAATAAATAAATAAAATGGCTGAGGATGTAGATCAGAGTGAAGCCCTGAGTTCAAGCCCCAGTATTGCATTCCCATAAATGTAAAAAGTTTCTATTAAGCAAATAATAGTACAGAACACTGTGAAGAGGAATATCAACAGTGTTTTAGAGAAGATCTAATATGAACCAGAAGGATGCTTCTATGGAAATTAATGAATCCATTCTTGTTCCTCCCCCAACTCCCAAAAAATCATTCTTTAAAGTTCATAACCATTTTTATAAGTCTACTTAATGCATTTTTGGAAGACTGCTCATTTCTTTTCCACTTCAGAATACAAGAGAGATGGAGGGAGCGGGAGTGGGCAAAGGGAAGAGAATGTAAAACATTAAAACTAAAACAATGTATTGAGAAAGGGGCATGAGCCAGCACCCCATCCCCTAATAATAAGGGTTCAGATCCTGTCCTAGTTCCCTCCTGCCACTGTCTTTTTACAGAAAAGGTTTTGTTTTCAAAAATGAACACATAAAACAATGATGTCACCAATCATATTCATATTATATACAGGTTATGTATGTGTTTTCCTGTCAATGTTAAAAGGGTAATCACAAAGTAATTATACCCCCCAAACTTTGCTTACTGTCTTTATCATATGTGTTTTTGAATCAAGTTTTATCCACATTTGATAGTATGTCTTTATTATTATGTTCCCAGCAACGGCAAAGTAAAAAAGATCAAACTCATCAAACTGGTTTTTAAATAAGTTATAGCAATATAGATTGCTATATACCTGCTTCACCAATATTTTGTACTCCTTGTTATTTTTAACCTATCCACTTGACTTTGATTTTAACATTCACTCTACAGACTTTCTCATATATTTCCATAATGTACCAGAGCACACCTCCATGAGAACATGACAAGTCTTGGTGGAATGTCACCTGCACCTGAATTGGAAAAGGCTCACCTGAAATGCTATCAGATAGCACAACAGAGCTAGCTCAGAGAGAGCTCGCCACTGGATGTCACTGTGCTGACCCATCTTCAACAGCAGGGAGCCAGCGTGCAGGTAGAAGTGTCCTTTCACTTCTTGGAAAACAACTGACAATTCATCATTTCCACCCACCAAAGGCTTCACAGACTGAAGAACACTATCAAAACTGCAATATTAAAAAGTCAAACAGCTGTCAACATTTACTGCATCATGAATAATCAGTTTCATATAGTCAATTCAAAATAAAATAAAGCTTTTCTCAAGATTCATCTTCCACACTGGAAATCCTATTAATCCTTATTCTTTTTGTTTTCTCTCTGGTACCAGGGATTGAACTCAGGACCTTGCACTTGCAAGGCAGGCACAGCACCACTGAGCTAAATCCCTGGGGCAATCCTTATTCTCTATCTTAGAAATTACAAACTATTTAGTGCTCATTTTTATCCGGCATACTTCAAGCTTAACCTCTAGAACATCTTATTCCAAAATTGTCATTTCCTGCCCTCCAATCATAGAAAAGATACAAATCAGAGATTACAGGTAAGTATTTTATAGTAAACTAGGGTCAAGTCAGAAAATTGTTTTCCAGTTTCTTCTTGATCCATATGCTTTCATTAATTAAGTGAAAGTTGGAATTTCTCAAAACACATGCAATTTCCAAAATACAGTAAATAAGTGATCAATATTAGGGTATCATATAGTAATTGCTCTTCCTCCTATAGAGACAAGTACAGAGTTGAATTATATTTCTTTCCATTACTTGTAATCTATATTTTAATTAGTATTTCTAAATCCTCATGATCCTCAAAATCTTCACTTTGCAAGAAAACCAAAAGCAAATACAAAGCAGGCCAGGGATTTAGCTCAATGGTGCTGCACCTGTCTCATAAGCACAAGGTCCTGAGTTAGATCCCCAGTACCAAAAAGAAAAAAAAGGAACCACAAATACACATATAAAGCATGACTTTAAAGTAGCTTATAATAAAGCAATCAGAGCAGCAGGGATTTCTTCTAACAAGTGAATCTGGGAATCTCTGAGGGTTCTCAAAGACTCTTCAAGAGACCCAGGAGGCTCCACTTATTTTCATAATACTGTCACTTTTTTTTCAGAAACTCTTATTTTCTTGTGTATGTGTAACTGCATTTTCCAGAGGGTTCAAAACATGTAACAGTTTAACAGAATGATGAGTGGTGAGAATCCAGCTGAGTTCCATGAAGCCAGCCATTAAGGAGATTACAAAAATGCAAAACAGTGCTCTTCCCTCACTACTTTGTTGTTCCCAAAAATAATTACCTTTCACAAAAATGCTATTATTGTTAGCGTGTAATGGGGTTTACATTTTTTTAATGAACTAAGTCTTTTTTTTATTTCTGTTTTAATTTCTAATATGATAAATACTAATAGTAATAACCCACAAAGAAAGATCTTAGGAGATCTTCAAAGGGTATAAAAGGATCTTATGACCAAAAACTTTGATGATATAAACCATACAAAATAAAACATCCTAAATATTTTATAATCTGAAAGTTTGGTCGTTTTTTTGGTACTGGGGATTGCTCAGGACTTTATGCTTGGGAGGCAGGCGGCGCCACCACTGAGCTAAATCCCCCGCCTTATAATCTGAAAAGTTTAAGTTATTCCTTTTGAATATTGCCCTTATCCTACACCATCAGGAAACTAAGTATTTTTTTCAAAAACACTATCTAATTCTACAACACTTCAGTGAAACACTGTGAAATAAACCAATAGTGTAAACAATGGATCAATAAAACATTTCTATAAAGTGTCAGATAGTCTGGCTTTACAGGCTAGTCTCTGTCACAACCACTCAACTACTCTTGCAATATGCAAACAGCCACCATAAACAGAGACCCATGCCTGCTCAACAACCTTTTAGTCACAAGATTAAGCAGTGGGGCATAGACAGCCCATGGGCTCTCATCAGCCCCTGCTCCAAACTAACACCCTTATCCAAGTCAAACTTTTCAAGTCATTGTTTCTTGTTTGATGGAATTCATTTACATAAAATAGAGTACTGGTTTCCAAAACCAAAGTTTCAGAAAAAAGGAAAATTCATGTATGTTTGTTTTGTTACTAAGCCAAAACAGTGCTTTCTGAAATATTAGTGACGCTAAGTGCTTACACTTATACATCTGAACCTAGACCCTGGTAAAGGACGAAGAACTGTTACCTGATTTTCACTCAAAATTATCTTTTTTTTTTTTTAATTAAAATGCGGTACAACAGAATGTTCATTTTAAGGCCTGATTATTAAGCACGCCAAAATGGATCATTTAGCTATAAAGCTAATTTAAATCAAAACTCAACTGAGTTCTCTAAAAATCAAAGTTACACAAAACCTTATTACAACATCCCAATAAAAGTAAAATTTGATTCCCTTCAAGTGTTTCATTGTATTAACTGTAACTCCTGGGTATCTTATAGAAATAATGATGCTATAAATAAGTTTAAACCAAATAACCACTGGAAAAAAGAAATCTGTGATTTATGCTGCCACCCCTTTCTCCAAGCCCACACACCTTTCCAGCAGCTCCCTGACCTCCTGCTCGTCTCTGGTGGAAAGTGTGAGAAGCATCAGGCTAGTATGGGCCAGGAGCAAGTCCTTACTGACTGCTCGCCGGTCACCTTTGTCAGATTCCAAGCACTGTAAAGATTCCAGATATTCCTATTTTGTAGAAAGAACAGTAAGTCATTAAGCGATCAAATTTTGAGAAATTGAGTATTTCATGCCAACAAATTTCTTGGACCACTATCACATTTCTGAAAGTATATTGTTTTTTATACCAGCCTTAAAATAAAAATACCAAAAATATATATATATTTGTCATACTATCTCCACAATCTGTCCATTATAAACTGAAATTATCTAGTACAACTTCATTTTATAGTCACTCTACATGAATGAAAAAAGTTCAAGAGTTGCAGAGTGCTGTACTGCAGTATAAGCACACTATGTGACTCTATAAGCAAGTAGTATGGAGGCCCAGCACTTTCATCTACCTTAAGGGTCTGCACAACACACGCATTCCACTCCAGATTTGTACGCAAAGCTGTGTGCTTCTCTGCCCCATGGCAGTGGGCCACAGCATCCTTCAACCTCTTATTTGAACGATACAGCTCCACTAGCCGGATATTCATATAGACGTCATCAGGTCTGAGATAAAGTTCTGACTGAATCAAGTCAAAAAGTTTATTCCATCCATCTTCACCTTTACAATCTAAAAGTTGTTCCTATTTGGGAGAAAAAAAACAAAAAACAAAAAAACCCATTAATTTAGAGCAATGATGGTAAATCTTTTAGAACTTTCAATGATACAAACAGCCTGTTACAGCACACATACCATAGGTTCACCCCACTGATTTAGAGTAACTGCACAATTTTAAGCAAGACCACGTCCATGCCCAACATTGCTGTGACAAGCTTTAGGAAGGGGACGCCACAAGTACCCCTCTTCTTACCTCAGGAGCCCTGTCAGTGTTGCTCTCACAAGTTGAGCCCCAAGAACCTGATGTAGAGAGAAGCACCCGAGATCCTGTAGTAGCTATGGCTGCCCACATTCACCTGAGACTACAAGACCACACTGCTCATGCCCCAGGCAAGACACCTTGGTCCTCACCAAAAGCCGGGGCCTCCTGTCAGTAATCACCAGGGGGTCTTATCTTCAAACCACTCTGTATCTCTCTGAATCTAACTCAGTCCCTCAGTCCAGAGGCTAAAAGCTATTCTGTCGTCAACATCTTCCCAAAGCACTGCTTTACCTCCTGCCTTAGCTGTCACAATAACCCCAGCACCTCTGCCCTAACAGCTGCTCTCCTCACCTATAAACATGGAGACAGGACCTGTATCATACTTGCTCCTCATTGCCACCTCTTCCCTCCCAACACACCTTGCGTGATTCCTCCTAGGGGCAACTGGGATAAATCACTCTGCATCTCCAACAACCAGTACTGGGATTAGCACTCAAGACACACAAGACACGTAACAGTTTAGCTACTTGGTTCTCTCATCACTTCATGTCCAGTGACCTGACCCTTCACTTCAACTTCATCCATCCATCCAACACTGACATTGGTCTTAGCACCCCTCTTCGTATTCTTCCATCTCTCTAGGGCCCCCTGTACCCTCACTGCCACAAACGCAGTCCTCTATCACATGAAAATCCCCCTTCCAGTACACACCAAGTTCTAATTATCCGTAACACATTCACACTTTACTTCTCTGTCAAGCTAAAATGCAATGATCCTTAGTAGTCATGATTACCACTTGCTTGGTGATTCTTCAACCAATTCTCTCCTCATTCCCTTGGAAGAACCCACTAGCTCTTTTCTCTGGGTCTATACACTAACAGCTGAACAAATGTATGAGGTAAGACACATAATAAGAACGCTCAAACCCCACATTGATTTCATTTTCATTATCTCAAACACAGACTGGTTTTGCCTACAGCAAAATACAACTTTACTTCCAACAACCTCACCTCCATTCCCTGGAAAGATTACTTCATACCTCCTTTCCACATCTTCCTTCACCCCCACTTTCCACTTACAACCTCAATTCAACCTTCCTGGAGGAAACAGGCATACATGCCCTTCTACCTGAGCTGCCTGCACTTATCCGCGCACTGTGGTCTCTGCCTAGAGAGGCCAAGCCCCAGTAGAGCTTGGCACTTCACTTCTTCTCCTCCTCTGGATCATTCTGTAAACTTACACTTGGCCTCTCCATATCTATAAGAGAAGCACTGGCCTCTGATTATATGTTAAAGTATTTTTTTTAAAAAAAAGAACACTAGGACCGGGGATTTAGCTCAGTGGTTTCCCTACCTGCTGCACAAGCACAAGGACCCAAGTTTGATCCCCAGTACCAAAAAAAAAAAAAGACCACCAGGGCCGGGGACTTAGCTCAGTGGTTCCGCCACCTGACTCACAAGCGCAAGGTCCCGAGTTCAATCCCCAGTACCAAAAAGAAAAGAACACCACCATTATGAACTGTATTTCAAAAAACAGGGGGGCAGACAGATAAAAATAATGTGCATTTGTGGTCCATTTTATTACACTCCATGAATACAACAATGTCTGCATTATCCTTTGAAAGCTGTATAATAACATACATTTCAAATGTATGTCAGGCACATCTAGAAAGACCTCTAGAAGTTTCTTGATAAACCATGTTTTACTGAAGAAAGCCTAACATTAGCAACAATTTCCTATAATTTTAAATAATTAGTTCCAACATAATAAACAGTATTTTATCATGTTTCACAATCTTTGTCCCATGAGACAATCCTTTCCATTTTTAAAGTTATTAGAAGACTTGGGCCAGGGATTTACCTCAGTGGCACAGCGCCTGCCTCACAAGCACAAGGTCCTGAGTTCGATCCCCAACACAAAAAAAAGTTATTAGAAGATTTCTTTAGAATACCCCAAACTTGTAACCTGTAGGTAATTTTCACCTAATAAAGAAAAATTTTTATACCAGACAGAGCTTGATTTAAACCTCAGCTCAGTCTTTAGCTGTAAAACTGTAAGATCTCTAAAGTATTACTCTAGAAGAGTAACTGAGATATGCCTTGTAAAGCATAGCAGTATCCAATGAAAATACTCAGAAAGGTTTTAAGATCTGTTTTTGTTCTTTGAGACAGTGTTCCACTAGCCACGTGTGGTCCAGGGCAGCCTTGAACACACTACACAGACCAGGTTGGTCTGGAACTCACAATTCTCCTGCCACAGCTCCGAAGGGCTGGGATTCAAAGCACGAACCATTACACTCAGCTTCAAAGATTTTTTTAAAGCAAACACAAATACACACTCCTCAGTTCTGGGTTTGCTACTGAAAAAGTAATTTAAATTCCAAATATTAGAAATGGTTGTATCTTAGTTTTCTCCTTTTTTATGTTTTGTTTGATTTGGTTTTACCTTTAACTTATAAACTTCAGGATTTCCAGGGAAAACTTTTGCTGCTCTTTCAACCCAGTATTTTGCTCTTCCATCAATAACATCATTTTTACAAAGCAACTCTGCAATCTTCAACACAAGATCTTTTTGTGTTGGGTTTAAATCCACTGAACGCTAATATGGAGGGGAAAAATTTAAATACAAAGGTTAAAAATACTATCAGTGCAGTCATCAAAAATTCTGTTCCTAGATGACAATGTTTTATTTCAAAATTAAAATTAAACTACTCTGGAACTTTATGGAACTCAATCAAATGAAAATTATGGTTTTAATTATGCAAACAACACACAAGAACATCATCTCTAGTCTGACTTAAATTTCATAGGTATTAAATTATAGTGTACTGTGGGCCAAATCTTAAATGTCTCCCAAGCTGTATCATTCAAGGCTTGTTTCACGACGTCCATAAAATACACCTAAATTATTCATTACATGAATTATTTTGGGATTGTGTGTCTGGCTGTACAAAGGTCCTATTTTAATCCAACAATTACCTTATAACATTCAACAGCTTTGTCAGTATTTTCCTCTGCTTCATAAAGAAGACCCAGAAATCTGTGACCTTTGGGGTCCCGCTCTTGCACATTAATATATGAAGATACATATCTGTTTTTAAATAGTAATACAAAAAACATCTTAGATTAGAAAACGTAAGTATTTAAATGCTAACTGCAAAGTATATCCTAACCAAAGCAACCATTAATCTTTTTTTTTCTTCTGGTACCGAGGATTGAACTCAGGTCCTTGTGCTTGCGAGACAGACACGGTACCAATGAGCTAAATCCCCGGCCCTAGCAACTTTAATCTTTATTGTTACTCAACTGACTACCATTAGAGCAGAATGTTCAAATGACTCAAAAGTATTCATAGAAAGAAACAGATCATACTTAAAACACAAACAAATTGACAACATACTCATTTTGCCATTAAATGCAACACCTGCCAAATGTTTTTCTTAACGCTACCTACACAAAGAAATGAACATAAAGTGTTTTTTCTTCTTGATCATATTTGCCAAGTTTTGCATATAAAAATATTTTAAGTTATCAATGCGTAATGCAAAAAATAACAATTTCTCAAATAACATTTAATATAGTTAACCTTTAAACAAAAAATATTCATTTGTAACAACTGTACTCAGCTAAACTTGAAAGAAGAGAAATTACTAACTATACTAACAAATTGAAGTATATTTCACACCCCAAATACATACTTTTTGTTTGTTTTTGAAACACATACTCCAGGTTGGCCTCAAACTCATGATCCTTCTGCCTCAGGGATTACATGAGTGGCTCACCATGATGAGAATAATTTCCAGTTCTTTTTTTTTTTTTGGTACTGGGGATCGAACTCGGGCCCTTGCGCTTGCGGGGCAGGCGGCGGAACCACTAAGCTAAATCCCCAGCCCTAATTTCCAGTTCTTAAATTGAATAACAACTAAAAATAACTATCTTCCAGGCTCAGTAACAGTCTTATTGTAACAGAAATTAGACCGAAGACCAAAACTAAGGAGGAAAAGTCTCACATTAACAAGGAACAAAGACCAGTAGTCCCAGTACTCCTAGTTAGGTAAGGTGCTGCCACTTTTCTTTGTTACTAGCATTTCACCTCTTCCCATCAAATGCCTCCCCCTTCCTCCTCTCTGGCTTTAAACTGTGCCATGTCAGGAAATTACAATCTCCAAGCTTCTTTCCCTATAATGCAACAGCCCCAGAACATATAACCTACTGAGTCCATTAAAGATCTTTTATGGGGCCAGGGATTTAGCTCAGTGGTTTCGCCGCCTGCTGCGCAAGTGCAAGGACCCGAGTTCAATCCCCAGTGGCAAAAACAAAAAAAAAGATCTTTTATGGCTAGGGGTGACTGTGTATACCGGTAATTCCAGCTCCTAGGAAGGCTGAGGGAGATCACAAGTTCAAGGCCAGCCTGGGTAACTTATTAAGACCCTTCCAAAAGGGTTGAGATTGTAGCTCAGTGGTAGAGCTTTTATCTAGCGTGGCAAGGTCCTAGGTCAGAAATGGCAAACTTTTTAGTGCTTTCAATGATACAAACAGCCCACTGTGACACATGTGCAATAGGTTCACCACCACTGTTCTAGGTTCAATCCCATGTGTATGTTTTACACAAGGTATTCTGTTTTAATTTTGTATTCACTGTTCTTTTCCAGCTAAAGTTCCAGATATCTAACCAGAAAAAAATCAAAATATAGCTGTTTCACTTCATTCTAACCCAGGACCACTTTTAGAAAACACATTTGAACCCAAATAAAAGCAAACAGCAACCTGTAAGGAGTATACATTCTAGGCTCAGTATACGTCTGAGAGTGATGAATCCCTTGTTCCAGGATTCAAATAAGCAAAAAAGTACGTTATTTACCAGTTCTTCCTACTGCAAAGAACACGAGAAAAGGCAATGATTTTTTTAAAACTAACGATGTTCAAAGTCTGGCACTTACTTTTTAGCAAGATCATATTCTTTAGCTTCATAGTACAGCCTCGCGAAATAAAATCCTTTCAATGATTTCTAAAAAAAAACAAAGCCAGAAGAACAGTTTTACTTTTCATATTTTCAAATATTGTACTTTTTCAAAAGGACAACCCCTAACCAGGGTAGTGTTCACATAAAAGATTATAAAAAAGAACTGCCTGAAAAATATATATTCTAAAAGTCATGAGTCCATGTTTTATAATTCCTAGCATAAAACAAAATAAATTTCAGAATAGCAAGACAAGCAGGCATCAGAAGTACTTGGAAACTTTAGAAACCATGGAAACCTTAAAAACCATGTGGTAGCCAGCTCTCTCAGTTTACAGAAAAGTAAACAAAAACCAGCATTTCTGGGGGAGGAAGAGTACACCAGAAATCTCTCTTCTCCTAACGTGTGTCAGCCCTTACAGGGAAGAACAAGCAAATACTTCAAAGACATTAAGGCACTGGATAGTCCCTGGGCCAGGTACTATTCTCTCTATAGCTCAGCATTTTACACTTGAGGAATTAAAAAGGCAGTAATAAAAACTGAATTCTTCAGGGAAAAAACGAAATCTACACCCTGGCTCTTTATCTCCATAAACTCCAAACCAGAATGCAGGTTCACACAAGTTATGTCCATAATGTGATCAAGAGGATACAGTTATCAAACTTTTTTTTTTGGTACCAGGGATCGAACTCAGGACCTTGCACTTGCAAGGCAGGCAATGGCACCACTGAGCTAAATCCCCGGCCCCTATCAAACATTTCTGGGCCGGGGATTTAGCCCAGTGGTGCCGTCGCCTGCCTCGCAAGCGCAAGGACCTGAGTTCGATCCCCAGTACCAAAAAAAAAAAA